CGTGCTGAGGGCATTTGCGGATCGTGCTCTGAAGGACAATCCGACTCTAAAAAAGCCATTTTCTACCCTGGTTAAGTAGGCTGTACCAGCACTGTGTGCTTCAAACCTGCTCAAGTGCAAGGAGATGGATGACACTCACAGAGCTAAGCTCATGGAGCTGATATCTGTTCGGTTTTTGCGGCCTCTGCTGGCGAACTATGCATTCACTGTCAGTAACAAGCATGATGCTTTCAAGTACTTCACGAAAAAGCCCCTGTCAAGAAAACATGCAAAACTGTGAGGCTACCGAAAAAAGAGATACTTACAAATAAAAGTTCCTTTTTTTTGCAAAATGTATTCGTATCGCATCAATTGGGTTCATTTTTCAGAATATAGAGCTGCGATGCAAGGCAAGTCAACGTTGGAAATTTATGTACATTATGTCCAAGCATGTAGGTGTGTGCATACGCGGCATGTTTTTGGTATTCATTTAGCGAGGCGTTCTTCGCTTGCGGCTAGTACGTGAAAGCTGGCAACTAGATCTCTGAAACACTCGGTAACATAATTCAGTGATTACAGCCGCGATATATTGAGGTTTGAGTGCAGAACATTAAGAATTTAATCTGTTTAATTTTGAGTGCGGAGCCAGAACCACGGCAGCTGCGGCACGTAGCGAACTCAGGCACCCTGTTTAGGCAGCGGCACATGGTGGCAAGGTGCCGCACTCGCGCCGACAGAGTAGTCCCATTGTTCTCTTCCGCTTTTACTGGGCACTGAAAGTTATAAAGGAGGCACTGGCGTGTTGCGTCGCGCTCGGAGTGCTCGACCACGGCCGCCTGGATTCGACGATCTAAGAATTACGACGTGGTGCTTGTGTGTGCGCTTGGATGAGCGTGTGAAGCTGCTTTTGCGTCTTGCTGTGTCCATGAAGTCTGGAGCAAGTCTCGACACGTCACTGCGCCGCGCTGTATATCTCTGGCTTCAAGATGGTCACGACCAACACACGACAGCAACAGCTGGGAAGGCCAATATGGCAGCCGAGAACACAATAGGCCTATCGGATATATACTCCAGTCCCACTCAGAAAACACGCAGAAAACAGCGCTGGATTCTAAGGTAAGTAGGTTATCATTCTTTATTCTACTCTACTTGTCGCGTGTACGATACGGATCGCGCTTGCCTGCAACGGGTTCGGTGGTGTTGTGTATCGCACGCACGAAACGCATCGCGGTCAGCTTCGGCATCTGCAGGTAACCAGTGCTTTGCGACAGCCTGGAAATCGGCCGCCATTGCCGTCGGCCTCCCGCACGCTCGCTCATCGAGTGCTCGCCTGTCTTCGCCGCCTTGAGCTCCAGGCTAACGATATCGGGCTGAGTCCTTGTCGCTGTGTTGGGAGTCGTCGAAAACACGTTGCGGGTTCTTGTAAAGAGCTTCGTTGTAGTATGTCGCGCGCTCTAAGTGCACCAGGACAGGCTGGCGGGGCTTTCGCTAGCGTCGGAACTCACTGAAAATTGGTCACCATTACAGTTCGCTTTCCCGTCAGCCGGTCGCAAGCAGCTCGGTCGGCTCGACACCGTCTGTTGGCCGCGGCGACGGACCCGTGTTTGCTCGCTACACTCGCTAGAGTTTGTGGAAAAGGGCTGCATTACTGTTGATTTCTTCGGCGCTAGCTCCAAACCAGCTCGACGCTGTTCGTGGCAGTGGCCAAGCATACGCTCGCTTTCCTGTTCGAAGTTCGCTGGCCGCAGACACTCCGCGTGCAGCACCGTGTTTGGTCTCGCGTTCGCTTGCTCGAGCTGAACGACGTCGCTCGCTTAGGACTCGCCGACCTGTTAGCGGCACGGTGGTTCGCAGAGTTGTGGCTTCGGCCGCCGCTCCTAAGCTGTTGCGTTACGGGGATCAAAACGAGTCTTTGACGATGTGTGACATCACGGTGAAATTATTAGCATGTCATATATCACGTATGCTTTCATTTCACCTTGCACGTATTCTCATATGCATTTGTAATCATCCTCTGTCATGTGTGACTTAATATTTTACATACTTATTGAGCAGCCGTTGGCATACACCGTGCTGAAGACTGTGTGTGCTGGCAATCTGCGATGCCTGTTATCCGTCTCTTTCGTCAGAGCAGCTTCAGAAAGACTGTACGACATGTGAAGGTAGAGTTTTTTATGTGTCATACTTTAACGCTTGTTTTTATTAACGTGCACGTACTTGTCATATGCGTGCATATCTTCATCTTCTGTTGCGTGTGTCTAACTATTTTTACTATCTTATTGTACGTACAGCCATGGGAACACAACATGCAGAAGGCTGCGTGCGCTAGCGTCTGCAATGCCTGTCATATATCGCTTCCGTCGGAGGAGCTACCCAAAGAGTGAACAAGATTTGACAACGAGACTGGACTTGTACACTTCACCAAGAATTCACGTTAAAAAATGAAGAAACTTTATGTGTGTGCAGAAAAATAAAAGATTTCGGTGTCTCACTTTTGTCTTTCGTTGTTGCCGTGACTGCGAAAGCAGTCACACATAGGTGGCTAACTATTTTTTCGCGTTTTCTGCGCACTTTGTTGCTCACTGCACAGAAAAACAGGCGAAAAAAGTATTAGGCCTGGCGGAAAAAAAGAAAAAAAACAATGTTTGAACTAGAGACAAAAAGTTCATCTGATTGGAGTATTTGAGTGGATCAACCATTCGTCTGGCAAGGTGCAACTGTAAGGACTAACAATTGCCCAGTAAGGTGTAAATGTAGGGATTAACAGCTGCTCTATAAGGTGCGAATGTGAGGACTACATGTTAGTCCTTCGGGGTGAACTGTAGGACTAACGGTTACTCACTAAGGTGTTGATGTAAGGACTAACTGTTAGTTCCTTCTGGGGACTAACAGTTAGTTCTCACATTCTTCCTTATGGGGACTAACTGTTAGACCTAGTGCAGTTAGTCCCTAAAGGGACTAATGGTTGTGGCAGCCCCATTAGTCCCCAAAAGAACGAACCACACGCCCTTTTAACACCCTTTTGCCTTAGAGTCTGGTTTTCACTGTTGTCAAGGCTGCCATCATGCACCGTATATGTATACGTATCTATATGTAGAAAAACTCAGGAAATTAAAAAAAGTGACAGCTTTGCCGCAAAGACAAAGCAATGGATCCTCTATGTAGCAACAAATTGGAAAGTCACACACCAATGGGCAAGCAGATCGAAATGTAAGCAGATCGAAAATAAGCCTCTCTGTTGTTACTTCACTGTGTGTGAAAAGCGCACTCTTTTCGCAATCAGAGACTGTGCATTGATGGAAGTGACCTTTCTGCTCCCGGTAATTAAACAAAATTGTTCCGGTGAAAGCCCAAGGGCAGCGAAGACCCACAATTGTCCCCACCGCGAGATTAAGGCGCGCGAGCGAGCGTCCACTATCTCCACTCTGAGGGGCAAAGTTCGCGCGGGAGATGAGAATGTGCACCTACTGTCTGGTAATGCTAAAAGCACAATAGTTCGGCCCTCCCCCCTAGACGGGCGCCGCCGGATGCTCATTGCGCAATCTTACTGGTAATGCTGAAAACACGATAGTTTCCCCCCGAGATGCCTATCACCAGCGGTAAGTGGTAGATATAATTAGCTTGCCGCTTGAGCGTTCGAGGGCGTGTTGCTCGGTGGCTCAATGGTTAACGCCTCGCATTCACGAATCAGAAGTTCCACGTGCGATTCTGCACGCTGGAGTCTTTCTCGAGATTTTTCCTTTCTTGCATTTTCATATATATAGATATGTATACATATATGGTGATTGATGGCGACGCTCACGTCGACGCCGTTGCCGGCAGCAAAATCTAGTGGAGAGTGTCTATATAATTGCAATTGTAATAAAACAAAAGCCGCTCGCGCTTGGCACCCAGCTCGTAGCAATGCGCGTTTATCTCTCACGCGTACTTGTGTGCTCGCGCTTATCCTTCGGTGGAATGAATCGTGGGCCTTGGCCTTTCACCGGAATGCTTGCGTTAGTTGCCTGGGCCACTAGAAGTAAACTTTGCTCACTGGGCAGGGCCCCGTTCGCAAAAAGAGTGCGCTTTTCAAAAACAACAAATTAACAACTGGGGCACTCGTCAGTTTGCATTCATATCTGTACCTGTGAATGCATTTCGTGCATCGTTTTCGTTTAAACATCACATTAAGCGTCAAGTTGTAAACGTTGTTAGTTAGCTCTCATTCTGTGTGTGCTGCTTTCGTGCGTCATTTGCGCTTAAGCAGGGAGATGCACGTTTCGATCTGCTAGCCGTTCTCAGTGTTGCATTTCATGTTATCGCTAGTGTATTCATTGTTTCGTGCTTGTGGTGAAACTGTGATTTTTTTTTTCAATAACAGTGTAAGACCCTTCTGACAAAGGTGTTTAAGCAGTTGTTGCTCTTTGTCATCATTATAGCTAAAAAGCACACTGTGGTATGTGAGTCACAGAGTTATGACACTATTCATTAAGTGTTATTTCTGCTTGTTACCAATCTCATAGTCTAAACGCATTTCTAAGCATGTCCTTGATGTTTTGTACACCAAGCCTTTATTTAATTGTCCTATATACCCGTCGTAGCAGTTACATTGGAGTGGTTTTCGCGTTGACCCATGGATGTATTATCAATGTATTCACGCTTGAAATGTTAGCCGAATAACCAGCATAAGCAACAGCTTGTATAGCTTTATCTGTAGGATGATAATTTTCCCGCTTCGGATTAGGCATGCTTACGATGTTTTGCTACATTAGCCTACATATTCATTTATTATTTATTTATTTATTTATTGATTTATTGATTTATTAAGTCCTAACAGGCCTTCTCCGACCCATAGAGTAAGGGGGCCTCACAAAATAAATGATCACATAATGACTACATATTACCGCGTAGGAAGATGTAGCTAGAAACCCAAACATTACTTCATAAACACATTAAAGTGTTGCCTAACAATCATCGCAAAGGTGAAAAGAGCATAAGAAAATTTCAAATTATTAAGCTAATAAAGTTATGAAAAAATGTACCTGCAATGAACAACAATAGGATTCTTGTCGCCCGGCTGGAATCGCCATATCCGCTTGAGAAACGGCAGCAGGGCATCCGGATAGGCAGGTACGCCCTCTTCTGGCCATGCAGTGAAGTGGAATTGGGTCACAATTCTGGTCTTGCTTTTCTGCAAAGCGAAAATGACAGTGCTTGATAAAGTTAAAATATACTCGGGTCACTAGGACCTTCGTGTTCTTACACACGCATATCTGGGGCCATATTCGCTGTCAGCAGGCCCGTAGCCAGGGGTGTGTCCCTAAAGCATCAACCCCCCCCCCCCCCCCCGCCCCGAAATTCATATAGGAAGGATGTTTTGTCGAGGGAAAACAACACAAATAGATGTTTCGCAAGGCCTCCAAAAAGTGCCCTCTCCCCCTGTGTTATTTGGAGTGTAATTCATTAAAATATTATATACCTGTGCGCAATCATGTTTTCAGTTAGTGAGTACAAGCCTCCGTTTGTGAACTTACATTTTACCAGAAGGAGTATCTAGTAGGCTAGTGAAGCTTAATAGTTGGAGGTTTCGCTGAAGACTAACTTTTTAAATGGGTGGACAGTTTTAAAAACATCGTCTCCAGCTTATTTTCATCCAATGTGTCTGAAAAGATACTGCACTGAAATGTTCTTCTGTCAAACACTAGTGATGCAGCATGTCTGAGCGAACCAAAAATTGCAGTGGTTATTTTATTTACTAGTTCACAAAACTAAAAGCCCTTTCTATCTGACAGTGCTTATACCCTCTATAATGAACTTCGATGTAATTTTTGTTCGCGTGAATTCTTTCCTATTTCCAATTAGCCTTTCTGGTTTTCTATGGTTTAAGAAACATTAAATGAGAAAAAGGGGGTCATATTGATGATTTATAACAAAAAACTAGAGCTTGCATGAGCTTCGCCTTCAAGGGCAGATTGCGATAGCGTAATCAGAATTTGTGCACATCGCTTTCTGAACTGCTAGCTTGAATCGGTTCTCCGCGTATGCTTCATCCGAAATGCTAGAAACAAATGATCGAGCGCGTAACACTGGCCGTTTCAAACTCTCATTGAATGCCCACTGCAAGCACAGTTATTAAGCACTTGTTGAGGCGTAATTATTTTATTTGTGAATTAGCGAAGGGCTCACAGCACGTTAGTAGGAAAACACATGAACCTATGCAGCTGTTCACCTGGTCGGTGGTTGTATTGCTGCTGATGTTTTGAACATGTCGGAGCGCTTTCAAATGGGTGGGCTTTTAAAACACCTACTTGTTGCTCAATTCATGTGCCTTGATGCCTGACGCGATTCTAAGCTTCTGCCACTGCAATCTTATTATAAGATGCGTTAACGAGACTCCTTCCTCTACATCACATTCATATAGCGATGCACAATTTAGCCTGCAATATAACAAATATTGTGGTTCTGTGGGAGAACACCTACATACTACGCAGACAACCTGGGTTCATTCCTAAGTCCCGAAAACTGATAATATTATCTTTGCTTGTATCAATTGTACGGTCACGAAAAAAGGGGATGATTTTTTCGCTCACAATCAACGACGCCGACGCCTGACACCGACGCCGGAATTTCTGAGAAAGGAGCTTTTTAACGCCATTTCATTTTTAACGTGTTAATCTGTGAGAAGCTCAATCAAGTAAGGGTAATTACAGCGCACAAGTAACTACCAGTAGGAGTTGTCGTTATGACATTGTCAGTATAAGAAAAAATAAACATTTAATTGGGTTTGAGATTTGAATAATGTTAAAATGGTTTTCCAATTTACGGCTGAACGATGCGATAGAACACCGTGACACCATTTCTTTATTTAGCAAGTATTGAATACTTAAAGAGTATGAAATGTTTGAAATCTTATTCTTGGCCAAGCATCGCTACATGTGAGTAGGCGTGATTTAGGCGTAGTGATACTGGCTGACGTGGCATCTGTGGTATGTGCCTTGACGGTAACTAACAGTCTGTGCCTGGCAGATCACGTGCACTGACAGCATGATGGCGCAACTTGAGTGATGCTTATTTAGAGCTAGTATTGAGAGGTTATAAAGCGAAAGTAACCTTGTATGGCAAACCAGATTGGTTGAAGAAAGTGTAAATTTAAGAGATCGCTTTCACTGTTATACGCAACAATATGAGCTCTAACAGACAATAATGCCAGGGAAAGTATAGGGGATGGTATTAAAAGTAATTGTAATGTCAATAGAGAGGAAGAAATGTGGATAAAACATATCGCGGCAGGATCCGAACCTGCCAGGAATTATTGGGCAGCCGCCATCTCTTATTAAGATCCCGTTCTACGTGATGCCAAACAGGCAAAAAAAAAGTTTTCTACACTAGTCACATTGGCAACAGGTGGTACTCAATGACACTCGCACATTTAAATGCACATATATCCCTATATTGTGAGCAGGGGGATGACCGCCACCATAGTCCAGTGTAAAGCAGCAGACGCGTAATTCGAAGGACGTAGGTTTGGTCTGTGCCTGGGGCTACTTAACTTTACGCCCACTTCTCTTTCTCCACATTTATATTATAATTACTTCTAATAACATTCCTATAATTTCCCTGGCATTATTGTCTGTTGGTTCTCTCTAAACTACATGTATAAACCACATTCTAATATTAGACGTGCTGATGTGATGCAAGCTTCATATTTTTTTAATTGAACATTGCAAGGTACACATGAAGTGTGCAAGAGTGTTGGAATACCCCTCTTCAGTAATTTTCACTGCTCATAACATACTGATAATGGTGCTGAATGAATGCCAATGTACAATATTCGTCAAAATTGCTGAGGCCTATGGAAGTTGACGTTGCTACCACAATGATGAGTCCAGGTTGCAATGAGATATGTTCTTTATTTTGATAATCATATGCTCAATCATGATACAAATAAGGCTGTTCTGCTGTATAGCGGTGGGGTGAGGACCTATTATTGGCAGAGTAGGCTACGCGCTCGCCTGCGAGAAAAGCCTTAGTTGACTTTTTATTATACTAGAGCGTTCACGTCTTCACACAGCAGGGCATTACTAGTAAACTTCCAGCAGTCTGTGGAATCCTTGGAGTGGCGCCGGCTGCGGCTTGCACATAAGAACTCTTGTGAACTGCCAATTTTATTTAAGTACCTGTTCGTACGCGCGGATAGACAGCTAATCACGGTAAGTTAATTTTGTGAGTACATGAATATGCTAACGGCGACAAAACTTCTTTGGAATGTTTTAAAAAAGACAACATCTTTGGAAGACTGATATCAAATGGGATCCAAAGTACAGCAGCGCACAATGAATATAAAGACAATGCTCTACAGATGTTGTCTGAACAGGAGTGAGTGTTTCAGTAATGCTGGCCGACGTTTCGACACGTAAAGCTATTTTAGTCGAAGGCACGTCATTAAATTTGCTTGTTGTTTTAGATGCAGAATAGCTTATGGCTGAATTCAATCTGGTGTGTGGCGTGAGCACCTTTACTGCGCATGCACAAAAGCTGGCTTACGCGCTAGGCCGTTCCGGCCGGTGTAAGGGGCTAAGTAAGGCGCTGTGACTTCTCCTTCTTGCACTCTTTCAGCAATCACACGATAACGTTGGAAAACGAGATTCTGCAGACACGCAATAAGCAACGCGTTGCATTCTAGACAGAACGCACTGGCCCGCGTTTGCGCGTTCAGGCCTGCCTACTTGGCTGTGTAAGGGACTGTGGTCTCTACTCTTTCACCTTCTCGGCAATCACTTGATGGCGTCAGGGATGGAGAAGCTCTGCAGACGTGCAACGAACCTATGAACGTACTCCCGCGTTGTGTGGCAATGAACCCGTGTGGCATGCTTTGACAAGAGTTCAGGGCGAGTACGAGCAGCAGGAACTACAAGGAATCAATGTGGTGCTCCGCTTGCAAAGTCGTGTTAACATCGGGCAAGGCGGCACCCGTTATGAACGGAACATTAAGTCGACCCATGCGCTGCTTCGTATGCTACTCACGGTTCTTTTTAGTGGGAGTTGGTGTCATTTTCTTTTTTTTTCTTTTGAAAGGGCTAGTTATGGACCCCCTGTGACATGGTGTGGATAGCAGTACCTGTAATCTGCCTAAAAATAAACTAGGGAGAGGATCGGCGTGCTCATATCCCACTTGTGTGGATCACAGTACGGTAAAACGTGCTAATAAAGGAAGAAACAACAAAACTAAATGTACATGATTGGAATTCAGCTCTCAAGAACAGGAAAGTAAGAAACATTAGAAAAAAAAGAAGCGACTGAGAAAAGGAGGGCGGGGGAAGATAATTCAATGCCAAAATACCAGTCACGCCATTTAAAAGGAGTGGAAATGTTAACGAGAATTATGTTCTATTTCAAAGCAACTAAATAATTTTTTCAACTTAATTATATATTCATTCTGTAATGAGATATGCCAGAGTTTTTTATACCACACAATTTCAAAGCAACTAGATAATTTTTTCAACTTAATTATATATTCATTCTGTAATGAGATATGCCAGAATTTTTTATAACACAAATGCCACAGGCCGTTGAATTCGAGGGTGGTATAGTTATTAGCTGGCGGCAAGTATTGCTAAATACACTTTAAAAATGTTTCAAAATTCTTGCTAAAACTCGTTACCTCCTACATCGCGTTGTGCTCGATATGTACTGCTGTCATGAAGGTGACCGTGTGCAGCAAACTGTTTCAATTATAAGTTACAGGCTGTATGTGACAAGAACGTTTAATTTGTCATTAGCTTAGTTAGCGTTCGTGAGCACAGCGAACGAGGAAAGAGTGGAGACGCAAGGCTGGGTAATTCTGCGTTGGAGAAGTCTTGCCGCAGAGCTTGGAAGCTGGCAATGGAGTAGAGTAACTTTTGTTAAAACAACGACGACAAATAAAAAAAGAAAGAGGTGCAAGTAGTACTCACCAGTGAAATCTCAAGTTGGCGTATAACAAAGTCGACTTGTGTCTCCGTCTTCAATAATTTCACGCTGAATTTTCCGTACGTCTTTGTCGTATCTGGCCAGTATTGTTCACACTTTGTCTGCGATGAGAACGCATTGAAAATTTTAAATATTCGGCTACAATAGAAGCCGTATTTTCATTTTTGTCTCTTTTGAGTTTTTTTTTTTAGTTTCGATTTACATGAGGCATGGTAGGTAAGGTAACCAGAGCATTTCAGGCAGTTGCTGTGAACGAACATGTTTAGCTTTCTGTCTCTGCTTCATGCTGAAACTTTTATCACGTCCGCCACGCAACACTGAGGAAGAAGACGTAGCTTGCAAGCATGGACAAAGGGAAACAGAATAAGATACAATGATGTCAACTTATTCGTTTCCTTTGTCTGAGTTTATAAGCTTTTCTTCCTTGTACGCTGAACCCTTGTCACCTTGCCTGAATTCATGCAGTTCTCAGCCGCAGTTTAAAATCATGATTGACGGGTTTGGGAAGTGTAAATGAGTTGACATAATAACAAAAACAATTGTGGTGTGAGCTGACACGAACTCTCAAATGAAAAAAAAAACCACTGAGTTTGCGCATACAATCGTGTTAACAAGTGCTAACCTTATCGTTCTCTTGTGAATATCTGCCCAAGTGCACAGCGAAAGCTCTATACCCCGTGATACAAAAATAGCAGTGCTTGACCAAATCATTTAACTAATTCACAATGCAAAGAGCTCTGCAAAAATTATTCGAAGAAGATTGATTAAAAAGGAATGTAGCGAGCACTACAAGATTCATTGAATTTTCTCCACTGAAAAGTGAATTTGCGTATATGCATAGTAGAAACATTTCGTAAATGCGAGAAGCGCAACGCTGTGATATGCACATGGCTTCACTTTGATCGAAATGAGCATTCGCTCGAGATAAGCTGGTTTATGGTTAGATACCACGGGCACATCATCTAATTTTTATGCTAGATTAGCGATGTAACGGACCAGCTGGCATTGTTACTCTTGCTTATGTCACCCGACAAGATAATGCTTCCTGGTACCTGACGACAGTTGATGAGACGAGTGTATTTAGTCTGAGGTGCAGAGATAGAGATATAGAGAGACGCAAACTTATTAAAAAAAAAAGTCTGGCGAGTTATACAGGTACCTGGGCAGATATCCCCGTTTAGGTATCGGCCACAAGCCCTTGAGCTCTGGCAGCAGCGTCGACCCACTGGACGGGCCCACATTTGGTCTTCGAGCATAGAGTGCTATGGCTGAGCATAGCACTCTCCCAGCCTGTTCGGTTCAAGGCTGCATCCTCGTTTAGAGTCCCACTTTTGCCACACTTCCATAGCATGTGTTCCAGGGTTACCCTGGCCTCGCAAAACGTGCAGAGCCACGCATAAATTTCTGGGTAACCGAAAGTCATGATTACTAGGTTTTGAAACGTCCTGGTTTGCAGCTATCCCATTGTGGCCGCCTGCCTTTTGTTCAGTTTTCGGTGTTGTGGCGGACATTTGCGCCTGGCCAATCTCTTATGCTGGGTAATACCTTTAAAACCGGTGAGGCGATCCTTCCACTCTCATTCCTCACCCGACCTTGCTGCCGAGGCAGTGGTGGTGATGGTGGCGGCTCGCTCCGTAAGCCCTCGAGCCGCCCCATGCGCCGCCTCCTTGCCGGTGAGCGAGGAAGTGTGGGTGGGTGTCTTTAATACGTAAAAGTCTCTATTTTCAATTTTTCCGCAAGTAAAATTCGTAACGCCTCGAGAGAGACGCGGCCATTGGCGAAGTTGCGGATTGCGGTCTGAGAGTCGCTGATAACTATGTGCACTTCGGCCGTGGTGGTGGCCACTGCGAGCGCAATAGCCACTTCCTCTGCTGTCTCCGTGTGCTCCGTTCGTACCGTGATGCTAGTCTTGCAAACGTTCTGGTGGTCTATTACAGCGGTCATGAAGCCACGCCTGCACGCATACCTGGCCGCGTCCACAAACACTGCCTCTCGACATTTGCCACACTTCCTCTGTATGTCCTGTGCTCTCTTTACCCGTCTACTTCTGCGGTATTCAGGGTACATGTTCTTCGGCGAAGGAAGGATGGCCAGCCTACCCCTTACGTTACTTGGTACGTCGAGTTTGACACCGTGCTGAGCGTGATAACTAATTCCTAAACTCTCTAGTATGTGTCTGCCCGTTGTGCTTTTGGAAAGGCGTTCGTACGGTGCTATAGTCTGTGCCTTTATCGATTCCTCCAGCGTGTTGTGGAGACCCAGATCGAGTAATTTACTCGTGCTCGTGTTCAGAGATTTTTTTTTTTCTGTAGCGAGCACTGTCGAACCATAATTTATATTTCTGCGTATCTTGGTATGTGCAAGTGAATACATACAAACGCACACTTCAAGATTACAAATATGTAATCCGATTTAACATAACAAAATATCCACAACTACAAACACGTTTCATCATCTATGCCGTTGAAATCCTCAGTACTTAATGGCATCAAATGAGCGAAGGTTGCCCATGCACTAGCACAAAAATGAGTGACCTTCGTTCATTTGGTGCCAGTGCATACTGAAAATGCCACTTGCCTAGGTGGCGAAACGTCTATGTAGTTTTTCATACGTTTTATTACGCTAAGTAGAAGTACAAGTTTCTAATCATGAACTCGCCCAACTTCTGGAACATTTTCGCACAAAGAATTCAGTCCCATAAACCCACGCAAAATATACACAGCCATCTCCCCTCTTGCCATGGCTACGTCTATGGCAGAAGCACCCTGTTGCCAACGCGCATGTGAAGGTGGCACTCCCGCTTTCTGCCCTTACTTCTCTTCTACTCGCTCATGAAGTTTCCCTACCCTACTATCATTTCGCTTTCTCCAATGACACTCCTGTGAACGTACGTCACATCCGCGATGCGTTTTGTTTTCGCCTATAAAATAACATAATCAGTCTACCGCTTCCTGTGCTGTGTAGCAGCATCTCTCTTGCCTTGGTTGAATCAAGTATGCCTAGCTCCTGTTTTCCTGAATGCACGTTATTAAAAATAAAACACCATTGTTCTATGAGGAAACGAATAAACCGGGCACATTTCCATCTGAATGCTATGTGTGTAAGCTCACGTCAATATGACTTATTTTGCAAAACAGTTCAAATATTTAAATTAGCAGTGCATTTGAAATCTTTCAGACGCGATCATACCTTTCCTTGCTCTTCTAGGTTGGTGAGCATTACCACTTTGCAGCTCCCTTCTTGCCAGACCATCCGCCAAAAATCTGTCACTGTCGCCGCCATGGGACCTAGCGTAATAAATTATTAAACATAACTTCAGTGTGGGTGTATTGGTTCGTGGTCAAGCTGTTTGGGATGCATGCAGCGCAAAGACACACCTGGACAGAGACACACAGCTGAGACGAGAGGCGCTGACCTACAAATAGCTCTTACTGCATTCACCAGTGCAAATTTATCTGCTGTAATCACTCAAAAGTCGTCGTGACAATCACGTTTTTTTTTTCAAATATTACAAACAGCGATGAAAACTGTCTTAAATAGTTGTTTAGCTGGCAGAAAAATTCCCATAGAACACACGTGCAAGAATAAAAGAGCACGAGAGGAAAACAAAGAAGAACGTAGCAACAGATGGGTGCTTAGCGTAAAAAAAAGTATAAACGCGATGAAAAAATTAAACGGCATAAAAAACCGAGGTATGGGATTGAAAAAAAGGCAATAAATAATACTATATACTGAGATAACCAACCTTAAAGTCAAATAAAACTAGGGAAGGTGTCACAGAACGAGCGCTAAAAATGAGCGTGCCGCCAAATTCTTGCGATAACGAGCGGGAGAAACGCCGCGAGGTCAAAAGAAAAAAAAAAGAAAACAAACATCTAAAGGCTCCCCGGGGCGCGCGCTCTCCCCTCGGAAGCGTGGCTTCGCCGATGAACCTCCTCGCCCCACATCGGCGGCCGAGATAGCCCGCGAAAGTTCCAGAACGAAAGGGGCGTGGTCATACCGAGTTGAGTCATCGGCCGCGGAGGGCGTGCCAACCGTCTTGCCCTCTTCCCAGCCTTCGCTGCGTATCGCGCCGACGAAATGACGAGAACCGTCTGGAATGTTGCGCGCAAGGTATTTAACCGAGCAGCCGAGATGAGAGATCAGGAGAAGACGGAAGTTGCGCCAGAGTGCGAAGGGATCCCGTCATGTAGTCGGCGAAGATTTGTCCGTAGGGACGAAGCAGGAGATGAAGAGGATTTCCACCTGAGGGGTGAAGGCCCGAGCTACAGGCAAGAGAGTGTGTTTACCGCTACCGAGCGAAGACGCGTGGCGACAGCTGCGTGTGTGAAGCCGACGTGTTCGGGCGAAGAAGTTTGAAGCTTGGAGAGTGGCCAATTAAAGGCGCGAGGTTTCCTGGAAGAAAAACTTCGAGGGCGCGGAACGACAACAACGCTGGACTTTGAGTGAGTGATTCTCGGAAGAGTATCATCCAGACTCTTGTTCCAAGAACTTTGGACTGGATAGGTTTCTATCTCTTTAGTCTTTAAGTGTCTTGGTTGCTCAATGCATGCGACTGCATTGTAGAGCGTATCGTTCGTTGTCTATGTCCGTTGTTTTGAGTGTGGCTGATTGTACTGTGTAGTACGTTGTTTGATTGGTGACGTATTGTATGTAACTATTGTGGAGTGTGCATACGTGTGTATTGTTTTTGATCTGCCGTTAATGAGAATATAATTTTGTTTGTTTATCAACTCTCGGCTCTGACTTGTTCTTTGGACCACAGCCGGCGTCCGCTGGCGCGCCAAAAAGGACCACTTCTAAATTGTCCACGCTTTCGTGGTGCGGTTCGGGGGGCCGATACTTCGGCCCTTGGAATTAGCCCGGCGATTGCCTCCCTAATAAACGGGACATGTGTGACAATTAATCTGGCGTCCGCGACACAGGACCTTTTGGTGCACAGTGTGTCCAAAGAAGTTGGATAGAGCCTCGAGTTGATGATACTGCTATCGGAACGATTTTGTGTGTTGTTCAGTGTTTTCGTTAACGAGTGCAGGGGAGTGTTCCGATAGACTGATTTAGGCAGATACTTTTTGCACGCGGCAAGGTCTTATTTGCGAGATACAATGGATCTCGAAAAGTTAGTTGCTCTTGGTGAGAATATGGGTCTTTCTGGCGCCGAACTACGGAAGTGGGTAAGCCAGAAGGAGAAAGAGGCGGTGGAGAGAGAAAGGTTGGCAGCTGAGAGGGCCAAGGAAGAAAAAGCAGCTGAGTTGGAACGAGAGAGATTGGCAGCTGAGAGAGCCAAGGAAGAAAAAACAGCTGCATTGGAACGAGAGAAGTTGGCAGCCGAAAGGGCGAGAGAAGAAAGAGAAGCGAGGGAGCGACAGCTGAAAGAAGAAAGAGAGGAAAGGGAACGGCAGCGGCAGCACGAGATGGAACTCGAGCGGCTCCGGTTGACACAGCGAAGTGAAACTCCCGTCCAACCTAGAGTTGAAAGCAGCGAACGGGAAGATCATGGCTTCCGCTTGAACCCAAGCAAGCTGCTCGTGGTGTTTGATGAAAGGAAGGACGACCTTGACGCGTACCTTCACCGATTTGAGGCGATTGCGAAGAGCCAGAATTGGCCGGAACATCAGTGGGCAACTGCTTTGAGTACTTGCTTGAGTGGTGGTGCGCTCAGTGTGTACGGTAGGCTGACGCCGACCGATGCAGCCAACTATGCAAAGGTGAAAGCTGCTTTGCTGAAGCGATTTAGATTTACTGTAGAAGGATTGTCCCGATGATTCGAAGAAACTGACTCCCGAAGAAAAGAAGCGTGCACCAGAGAGCATTCCGCGATGTTTTCTGTGCAACCGAGTGGGTCACCGTGCTAACCACTGCCGAACTAACTTCACAAGCCCCACGGTTGTAAAATGTTTCAAATGTGGTCAGACTGGGCACAAGGCAGACGCATGTCGTAACGGAGCGAGTCAAACTCACCAGGTATCTTGTGCACAAGTGGCACCAAAAACCGTTGATGACGTCACCGATGGATTCGTAGAGTTGAAAAATGGGGAGAAAATCCCTATTGTGTGTGCGGTATTGACAAAACAACAAACAGGTGCTACGAAGGGAATGCCTGTGATGGCTGGAAAAGTGGCGGGAAGGCGTGTAGACGTCTTAAGAGACACTGGGTGCTCCACTGTAATAGTACGAAGAGACCTAGTCCGCGACGACGAACTCACCGGCCAGACCAGCCTGATTTACACCGTCGACCGTTCGGTTATGAGGCTGCCTGAGGCCAAGGTCAAGATCGAGACGCCCTTCTACAGTGGAATTGTTTCTGCCTTCTGCATGGATGATCCATTGTATGACGTAATCGTGGGGAACATCGAGGGCGCCCGTTCGCCGGACCAACCCGAATCACTGGAAGAGGACCCAGAAATCGATCCACCATCGATTGCAAACCCCCACGACCAACCAGCCACGGGCGATGAGGACGTAGTCGCAGTTGCGACCCGAGCACAGACCAAAGCCCAGTCGAAGCCATTCCAGCCCCTCCCTGCACCCGATTTCGAGGAGGACCCGAGCTTCAGCTATGCCGAGGAACAAATACAGGACGAGTCGTTAAAACCCTGCTTTGCGCAAATCGACAAGGACCTCAGATGCCGTAATAGTAAATGCGCGATAATGTTCAAGCAGGAAGATGGACTGCTCTACAGGTACTATACGGAGAGGAGTGGTCGGCGGATACGACAGCTGTTGGTGCCGAAGAACCGCCGAGAGGCTGTTATGAAGCTAGCCCACGATGGGATAATGGCCGGGCACCTGGGAGCCGAGAAAACCAAAGACAGAATTCAGGAAGAATTCTTCTGGCCCGGTGTCACAGCCGACGTGAAACGGTTCGTGGCGTCTTGCGATATCTGCCAGCGAACTGTGCCAAAAGGAAGGGTGCCACACGTGTCACTCGGCCAGTCCCCCGTCATAGACATCCCCTTTAAAAGGGTAGCTATTGATATAGTAGGCCCTATCCGACCTCCATCTGGTCAAGGAAACCGCTATATCCTGACTCTCGTCGATTGCGCCACGCGCTATCCGGAGGCAGTTGCACTACCTGGCATAGAGACCGAACGAGTCGCAGAAGCCCTCGTTGAGATGTTCTCCCGTTTTGGTGTACCGAGGGAAATTTTAAGTGATAGGGGCTCGAATTTCACGTCGGAGTTAATGAAAGAAGTGGCACGACTTCTATCAGTGCGCCAACTCCATACCACCCCTTACCACCCGATGGCCAACGGGATGGTGGAAAAATTTAATGGCACCCTGAAGACTATGCTCAAAAGAATGTGTGCGGAGAAACCAAAAAACTGGGACAGATTCCTCGGTCCGTTGCTGTTCGCGTACAGAGAAGTTCCCCAGACAAGTCTCGGCTTTTCACCGTTCGAGCTACTGTACGGCCGAAATGTCCGGGGACCCCTGCGATCTTAAAAGAAGTCTGGACGAACCAAGAGCTGGACGATGAGCTGAAGACAACCTACCAGTACGTATTGGATCTCCGAAATCGTCTAGAAGAGACGTGCCGCCTAGCTCACGAAGAACTCCGAAGGGCGGGAGCACGCTACGCTAAGCACTACAATCGAAAGTCAAGGGATAGAGTATTCCAACCAGGAGATAAGGTTCTCATCCTGCTCCCTACTGACAAAAATAAACTCTTGCTGCATTGGAAGGGGCCCTTCGAAGTGCAGGCGACAATTGGGAACTTCGATTACTCCATAAAGACGCCGAGCGGGCCGAAAATTTTCCATGCCAATTTGCTGAAGAAGTATGCGGAGCGGGAAACGAACCAAGATGCGCCGCATCAATGCCAAGTCATCGTAGGGGTTATTGACAATGGAGATGAACAGGAACTACCGGTGCCGGAATTCGTGCAGACAGAAAGAATTACTGACGTCAAGATCTGCCCAAGTTTGACGGACCAACAAAAGGAGGAGTTGGAGAAAACCCTGACAGCACACTCTAAAATATTTTCGAATGTCCCGGGCAAGACAGATTGGGTGGAGTGTCACCTCGAGACAGTGACGGAGTCCCCAGCCCACGTCAAACAGTACCCGTTACCTTTTGCTACGACTAAAGACATCGAGGCCGAGGTACAGCAAATGAAAACACTGGGCATAATTGAAGTCTCAAAATCGCCCTATAATTCCCCCGTGTTGCTTGTGGACAAACCGGACAAAACCAAGCGGTTTGTAGTCGATTTCCGGCGCCTGAACAACCTCATAATAGCAGATGCAGAGCCCATGCCTAGAGCAGATGCCGTTTTTGCCAGTGCCACAAACAAAAAATACTTCTCTAAGTTAGATTTTGTTAAGGGCTACTGGCAAATCCCACTCTCCCAGCAGTCGAAACCTAAGACTGCGTTTTCGACAAAATCCGGTCTCTACCAGTTCTGCTACATGCCTTTCAGGATCAAAACGGCACCCGCCGTATTCGCCCGGCTGATGCGACTAGTCACTGAGGGAATCCCGGGCATTGAGCATTACTATGACGACGTACTCATAACAAGTACGACCTGGGAGGAACACCTATCCACTCTCAAACAACTCTTCGCTCGAATTCAGGCTGCCGGGTTGACCGTGAGACCGAGCAAGTGTGAGTTGGGAATGAATGAGATTGATTTCCTTGGTCATCACATTGGACAAAACATGCTTGCTCCACTGGGAAAGACTCTCGACAAAATCCAAGCTGCAACCGCCCCAAAGACGAAGCGACAGGTACGCGCTTTTCTCGGGTTAACCAGCTATTATCGGGAGTTCATTCCAAATTATGCCGAGATCAGCGCCCCTCTCACAGAACTGATCAAGAAGGGTGATAGCAACTTAGTAAAATGGACGACGACACACGAGAAAGCATTCGCGAAACTCAAGGAATGCATCTCGAGCCCACCCGTGCTCCGCCTCCCAGACTTGACCAAGGAATTCATCCTCCGCGCCGACGCTTCCGACACCAGCCTCGGGGCTGTGCTCTTGCAGTCACACGAAGGGACCCTGCATCCTATAGCATACGCCAGTCGCAAACTACTTCCCCGGGAATCATCCTACAGCACCATCGAAAGAGAATGTCTAGCCCTGGTGTGGGGGATACAGAAGTTTAATATTTATCTCTACGGAGTGCCTTTCTTGGTCCAAACTGACCACCAGCCTCTCCAATACATAAAACAGGCTAAACAGCTCAACAGCAGAGTGTTGAGGTGGAGCTTGCTTCTGCAAGAGTATCAGTTCCGAGTCGAGCACATCAAGGGAAGCGAGAACGTTGGTGCCGACTACCTTAGCCGAGTTTGAATGTTTTGGAAGTGTCTGACAGCAGTGAACGCAATAGGCTGTGTTGTTATTGTGTTATCCGGTGTTGAGCAAATCAAAATGTTTCTTAAGGTGATGTGATGTATAGTGTTGTATAATTGTTGTAAAGACAGAACCTTGTACGTTTGTATTGTTTGGAATGTGTGATGAAGAGTTGTACTCATGTACCTGCGGTTATATTTCATGTGTGTGAGATTGAATGTAATGTCCAATCGTATTGAGTGATATATTGTGAATGTGAAGTGTCATGAGCGATGGATTGTGTTACAGTCTGTGAGAGTGTGTGGTGACTTTTCGCGCTCGTTTGTGTGGTTTTGAACATTATGAGATAATATTCTTAAAGTGGGGGGCAGTGTCACAGAACGAGCGCTAAAAATGAGCGCACCGCCAAATTCTTGCGATAACGGGCGGGAGAAACGCCGCGAGGTCAAAAGAAAAAAAAAGAAAACAAACATCTAAAGGCTCCCCGGGGCGCGCGCTCTCCCCTCGGAAGCGTGGCTTCGCCGATGAACCTCCTCGCCCCACATCGGCGGCCGAGATAGCCCGCGAAAGTTCCAGAACGAAAGGGGCGTGGTCATACCAAGTTGAGTCATCGGCCGCGGAGGGCGTGCCAACCGTCTTGCCCTCTTCCCAGCCTTCGCTGCGTATCGCGCCGACGAAATGACGAGAACCGTCTGGAATGTCGCGCGCAAGGTATTTAACCGAGCAGCCGAGATGAGAGATCAGGAGAAGACGGAAGTTGCGCCAGAGTGCGAAGGGATCCCGTCGTGTAGTCGGCGAAGATTTGTCGGTAGGGACGAAGCAGGAGATGAAGAGGATTTCCACCTGAGGGGTGAAGGCCCGAGCTACAGGCAAGAGAGTATGTTTACCGCTATCGAGCGAAGACGCGTGGCGACAGCTGCGTGTGTGAAGCCGACGTGTTCGGGCGAAGAAGTTTGAAGCTTGGAGAGTGGCCAATTGAAGGCGCGAGGTTTCCTGGAAGAGAAACTTCGAGGGCGCGGAACGACAACAACGCTGGACTTTGAGTGAGTGATTCCCGGAAGAGCATCATCCAGACTCTTGTTCCAAGAACTTTGGACTGGATAGGTTTCTATCTCTTTAGTCTTTAAGTGTCTTGGTTGTTCAATGCATGCGACTGCATTGTAGAGCGTATCGTTCGTTGTCTATGTCCGTTGTTTTGAGTGTGGCTGATTGTACTGTGTAGTACGTTGTTTGATTGGTGACGTATTGTATGTAACTATTGTGGAGTGTGCATACGTGTGTATTGTTTTTGATCTGCCGTTAATGAGAATATAATTTTGTTTGTTTATCAACTCTCGGCTCTGACTTGTTCTTTGGACCACAGCCGGCTTCCGCTGGCGCGCCAAAAAGGACCACTTCTAAATTGTCCATGCTTTCGTGGTGCGGTTCGGGGGGCCGATACTTCGACCCTTGGAATTAGCCCGGTGATTGCCTCCCTAATAAACGGGACATGTGCGACAGAAGGCCTACTAGCGCAGTTTTCCCCACCTGCGAGGATCAAAAGAAGTCTCCACAATTTCCAGCTCAATTTTACCTTGCGCTTTGCGAGTTGATGTTTGCACATACGTATTTTTGTGAATACCGTAGTGTTTATTTTGATGGTGAACGTGGCGATTGGGCCGGCCGGAAAGAAACCTGCTAGCGCGCGCCCATCGCGTAGGCCACAGTCACAAGCTGCCGTGTCGCGACAGAACAGCCGGATGTCCTTCATATCTGACGCAGCGCCTCCTCTATTTTATGAATGCCAACTAGATGCGGATTTTTCAACACAGAGAAGGTGCTGCCTGAGGCATCATGGGTGGCCGCCTGTGAGATCAGAACTCAAGTAGTAAAGCTGGCAGAAGACTATCGTGAACTTGTATCCAAACACGCAGATACACGGGCATTTTTAGATGCGAAGCAGCTCTTTGACTAGCCTGTGTAACGCTGTCCCTAGGTCCACACAGCGCTCCCCGCACCATACTTGTTGGGGCGGTGCCAAATACGTCACGCCTTTCCTCCGAGTGCTTCACTCTTTCCCTAGCCTGTCGCCGCTCGCCGTGTGTCATCTCTCTCACTTCACCCTCTTTACTGCTCGCAACGTTCGAGCGCACATCGAGTGGAAACACTCTTTTGGCTCGTTTATTTGCTGTGAAACTTGCACGGAACCCAACCCGCCTCCCGAGTCTTTTCGCCCCGCCACAGTGGTCTAGTGGCTAAGGTACTCGGCTGATGACCCGCAGGTCGTGGAATTGAATCCCGGCTGCGGCGGCTGCATTTTCGATGGAGGCGATAATGCTGAGGCCCGTGTGCTCAGATTTGCGTGCACGTTAAAGAGCCCCAGGTGGTCGAAATTTTCGGAGCCCTCCACTGTGACGTCTCTGATAATCATATGGTGGTTTTGGGGCATTTAACCGCACGTATCAATTAATCAATCCCGTGTCACTGCGTTTCAATGAAACGTTTACTCGACTAAAGGCTACACCGAGTTTCACTTTAAATCATTTTTCTAGCACCCGCGTCGGTGCTCGTTTCAGTCGGGACGACGGCGTGCGCACCGCCGCTGCTTCGTATACTATTATGGTTTTTTAGAGGAGACGTTCTCTACTTTATTAATGAATTTTTTTAGATCTCACGTGCACCTATTAAATTTTTTCTTGTTGCGTGGGTTGTAAGGTGCCTGAATAAAACTGATGCCATAATAAATAGTCTTAAACAAATTGTTCGGCCATCGTTATGTAATCATCATAAGTACGTCACGAACTATTTTAAATAACCAAAATGAAGGGAAGCTGCTTACCTTGCGTCGCAATGTATTTGCGCGGAAACTTGTAACCCTGTGAGGAAACATGATAGTATGTTTGACAAGCCCTCGGATTTTTTTTCATGAGATTGTACTCACGGTGCTCGAGAAATCCAAGAATTTATAAGTGCGACATATCAATGTTCAGAAATGCTCAAAGTGAATGATAGCAGTAATAGGCGCATCGTTTTTTTGTAAAATGTTGCACTCAAATAAATGAATGGCCAACGCTACTGAAGCGTGGATTTAAGGTGAAGAGAGGCACCTTGCACATCGAGAACACTGGCTACTAAAGGAAAACTATTAAAACAAGGATATTCTCCCATTTTCATAAATGGTTGGCCGCCGAAACTTGCTCGCTTAGTCCCATCGTTTGATATAATGGCATGATAGCCTCTTCACTAGCCACTGTTAGAAATATACAGAAAGTGGCAAATCCTCCGAGCAAGAAAAACTAAGACTTCTCCAACGTTCTGCAGCAAAAGTAAGAATATTTGTGGGAGTAATATATCTTAACGTTTATTCTGCCATTCCTTAATCAATAGCACAATGTATATCAGTGCAGGAAGCGTACTCACCGGTAGATAACTTGCATTTATATAGTCCGCTTTATCAAAACCTGCCATTGGAGTCAGTCTCACTCTGGAACGGTCGTCTGAAAAATTCCGAGAATAACTCAAGATCTCACAAAACATCCTCGCATAAATATGTGGTAGAAGTCACCAGTTATGATCAATGGCGGTCTTACATGCACACGGTATGAGTGGCGTGGTCACTGTCAGTGTCATTTCTGCTGATAAGTCGGTGCTCAGAAGCAGAGTTCAGAATTTTCAGCTTTGTTGAGGTAACGCTTCTTTTCATGACAAGGTGAGAACAAAGGAAGCCGTTACATCTCGACGGAAGACAACACGGTGACTTCCGTAGTGGTTCAAGGATTATTCAAGATCCTCCATGAGACTTCCGTATTTAGATTTTGAAAAGTAAATGTTCGGTGCAGTTTTGTCTGGTTCGCATCCGTAAAAGCTGTAGTGAATTGACATTTTTCATCTGGCTGGACAAGCGTAAGATTACCGTAAACCTGTGAAATGACCGAACAAGGCTGCCGGCTGGTCTACACAAGCTCCCACAAAGCTCAAGACACCACTGCACAGTTTCTTTAGTAAAGCTAGGAGACGCAATTTGCCTCCGTGGGTCTATAATACGGACGAGTTAGTACCTGTCACTTCGAAAGAGATATACGAACCCTGGCTTGACCACGTCTTTCCACGCATGGGTCGGCAAAATTTGAACCTGTTCGTCGTAATTTACAACTGACAAACTCCAGTGCTATAGGTAAAGGCGGAACGGACAGCATTTTTGTCGTGATGCATGCCTCGTCTGTCCTCATCGATTGTTTAGCGGGAAAGCTCGTCGTAGCTGTACCACTGCATTTGCTACAGTCCGGCTTCTTCACGGTGTACCTTCGCTATTGTATGTTCGTATGGGCGTTCGGTGCGGGAAAGAGAGGCTGTTCACGGCACTAGAGTTACCTGCAAATAATAGACACATAAAAGAGGAGTCTGGATCTTGGCTTGTTTGTACATTGGAAAATCGACGAAGCAAGCCTTGAAAGACGTATACCCGAGAAACTTTCAATTCACACGTATACACACGATTGATTGCCGTAGTTTAATTAAACATTTCTTGGAAATAAAAAGCAAAGGCACGTACGTGTGCCCTGTACACAATACATTTGAGATGACAGTGCTGTGAATGAGGCAAACCAATCGTAATCAAATCGCGTGAGCGCTTTAAAGTACCGTGCTGATTAACGCACCGCACATGACACCTCATTATTACATTTATACAAAAAAAGACATCTGTTTTCGTGATAGCGGTAAGAAGGGTACCCTTACACAACATTTGTGTCCAAGTTTTCCTTCTTCTTTTTTGCATTTGATACTCGTCAGTCAGATCGATTTCACATTTCGTGACTCGCCTAATAGCTTCGGTATCATCAGAAACACGTGAGCAGCCGCACACTGTAATGTTCAGCCGGATTCGCGCCTCCATCTGATGTGACAGTGGTTTTTTTTCATTGAAAGGAGTATTTACACAACGACATGTCTGCCGTGTGAACATTCTACGACCTGAAAATGATATGCGATACACAACATATGTAATGCAGTCGATATGTCGTTCATGCTGCTTGATTTCGATTTTGCAATGCTTGCCTAAAGACATGACACCCTGCATGGTACTGAGAGCAAGACTCGTACGCAGTAGCTTGAGCCAACTGTTAGCACGAAAGTGTTTTATGGCTGGGTTCACCTGGACTACGCTGATCTACTACCGTCACGGATATGACGTTCTAAAATAAAATACCACATTGCAAAGAAAAATAAAATTGGCTTATCCCACGTACAGTGGGAATCAATGAAATGCGATGCACGAATGAGGAAGATTGAAATGTCACTTTGCAGTCCGCACAACGTTACGAGGCGCGGGTACATTATGCGTTACATGGCTACCATGTGAAGATTATCCTGTTTCGACATGTCATTTACTTTCGTCATCTATTCACGTCACCTGATTCTAAAATTAGTATATGTGGAAATAGTGAAGCGGCCGCGAGCATGCCATGAGCGTATCGTGTAGTTATGCCTTACTTGACACGCATATCATGATTATCATGTTTAGATGTGTCATATACTTTCGTCAACTATTGACATCACGTGATACCAAACTTGGTACATGTAGAGCTAGCGGAACGGCTGCTAGCGCATCTTGAGCGTGGTGTGTGGTCATGTTCTTACATAACATGCGTCTCAGGATTACAATGTTTGCACCAGTCCTATAGCTCCGCCATCCCTTGACCTCTCGTAACTCCAAATTTGGTATATGTAGAGCCAGCGAAACTGCCGCGAGCGGATCATGAGTGTGGCATGTAGTCATATTGTTGCATGACACTTATGTCATAATTTTTATGTTAGGGTCTGTCACTTGTATTAGCCATGCAGTCATGTAATACCATACAAGTTTTGTAATATGTCATGTGAACGAAACCACCACAAAAGCAGCAAGTATACAAAATGTATATCATGTTGTTCATGACATTCATGTCATGATTTTTATGTTAAGACTAGTCACTTATGCTTGTCATTCAGCCATGTTATGCCATACCAAGTTTTGTATTGATACCAATATCGAAACGGCGAGCAGAGCTGAAGGTGGTAAGAGAGAGAGAGATAGAGGTAGGTAGGTAGGTAGGTAGGTAGACGGATGGACGGACGGACGGACGGATAGACAGGCAGGCAAGGCAAGGCAGGCAGGCAGGGCAAGGCAAGGCAAGGCAGGGCAAGGCAGGGCAGGGCAAGGCAGGGCAGGGCAAGGCAGGGCAAGGCAGGGCAGGGCAAGGCAGGGCAAGGCAGGGCAGGGCAGGGCAAGGCAGGGCAAGGCAGGGCAAGGCAAGGCAAGGCAAAGGCAAGGCAAGGCAAGGCAAGGCATATAGATAGATAGATAGATAGATAGATAGATAGATAGATAGATAGATAGATAGATAGATAGATACGTTTAAAGTCGAAGTTTGCCTTGAAAGGGTTCGCGTTAAAAAAACAAGAAGGAATGTTCTTGTTGTGGTGTGTTGAACCACCAACCTCTCAGCCTACAGCTTGTGGCGACAAAACACTAGGGTATGGAGCGTACGATGTCAATATTGTTAGTGGCAAGCTATACATATACGCCACATACTGTTTGGCAGTCCTCAGAGCTCTGCAACTTCGGCGCGCTATTGTCAGTAGCGAGATGGCGGAAGGTGCGCCATTGGGTGTGCTCTCAAGGCCGTCACCTCTAGCGTTTCGATGAGTGCCACGCTTCCATGGAGCATTGTCTCACGTGCGCGTGCTCTTATCGGACCCGTGATTCGGTAGAGCGAAAAAGTCACTTTCTCACTGCCGCGGCCGCGTTTACAAAAAGAGTGCACTGCTCACTCGTGAAGACGTAAGAATTGTGAGAGTTGTTCGTGCTTGTCTTGTAATACTTTTTGCGTTCGTATGGTGCATATTCCTTAGTGTTTGAGCAGCACGCTCTAAGTGTAGAGCTGTGACAGTTGTTAGTCCGCGCGCGTCCTGTGTAGGCTCATTTCGTTCGTTATTTCGGCTTGAGGTGTGTTTCCAGCTGCTTGTCATTTCTTGTGTGACATTGCGATTTGTTGCTGTAAAATTCATTCCTTCACCCTTGTGTTAAAAAAAACACAATGACTGTTTAAGTACTACTGTCAAGACGCGTTTTACTATCGAGTTGTACTGATTCCTAGAAAGAGGGATAAGCCGTGTTTTTTTTTCTGACATTTCAGTCAGTTCGTGTGTAAAAGAAATACTTCGACCCTTGACATCTGACTTACGGCTAGGAGGTACGCAAGAGTGCGCATTTACTAATCGGGTAGTCATTAAACTGCCACCTAACAGTGGTGCTTTTAGCAAAGAGTTCCTTGTCTTTCATTTCCTGACTAATATACAAATTAAGTTGTCAGTTGTTTACTCACACGGAAGGATGTCGTCGTAGCGATTCTTGGGTTTATTTTCTACCTTTAGCGCTACATCCCAAGGATGAAGTTGTCCCTTGGCTATAGTCTGAAATAAAACATGTGGCAAATATATCAGAATGTTTGCACAATGAATGAAGAACGAAAAGAAGATTCATACAAAAAAGCGTTTGGACGGTGTATGGTATCATTTTGTTACACGATATAAGTCAGAAAAATGTGCTACAGGTAAAAAGAAGTGCAGGTAAAATTTCATCCGCAAGTTTATGTATCGAAAGCTCTAATTTGGGTTTTGGAGACTGAAATGCACAGTCGCAAGGAAAAGAGCATGGGCAGTGCCAGAGTTTACCAGTAGTCAGATTATTTATCGATGAATAAACAGTTGTTAAAGTATTCGCAATAAATCAGGGTGACTAGTACCACCAAACGCTATAGCAGCCAATTCTCTAACGTGTACCATGAAGTTCTCATGTCTCGCCTTCTTCATCTTTGCTTTTAATATCGTTATTGCAACATCTTTCAATTTTGTTTATTCCATAGTCTTTGAGCACCGATCTTCCAGTTTTCAATTATTACCCCCAACCGCAGATTTATGAATGTTTTCGAAATTGCCTTGAAAGCCCTTTGATCACTTGACTGTGAAGCGTATCTCAGTTGACATGTGAATTAATTCTCATGTGCAAATGGTATGGCCATGGGGCCACCAGTTTTTACGGATAAGAAGCACGGCGTTTTTGCTCTGCCCATAACCAGTAGAAGTGAAGTAGGACTTCATTAAATGTATTCTTTTTCTGTCCTTTTTAGCTTCTTGTATTTTTTTTCTGTTCCTCTTTAGCTTCTTTACTTCTCTGTTGTTTTTATGTTATCTAACGGACAGTTCTCTTCGGGTTCTCGTTTATTTTTTCTAGAAAGTTCAATTGTAAGTCATGAGTTCATTTCCGTTCTGGGACAGAATATCTGTTTTCCTAATATTTGCTGTTGTCGAATTTCTGCTGCTGCTAAGCCAAATCACTGAATTGTAACCGTTTTTACTCAAAGGGCTCACTTGCAGCATGTCATCAGTGATGTTCCGTGTCGGGAATTTTCCCTTCTTCGGGAGATTTTCGCCTATCATTTTGAGTCAAAGGGAATCTTCGTGATATTGAAGGGAATTTCAGGAATAGGTAAATTCTCCTATGACGACCGATAATTAGTGGTCACAGTGCTTCTTCGTCTGCTGTAATCGGTTCTGGTGCATACAGCACAGAAGCATAGCCTTCGAGATTCGTTTCTGATATTTACGCAGAGCGATTTCTAGTTCACTATTTGTGTTTGACTTGAAGCCCACAATGTGCAGTGTGCTAACAGTCGTGACGCCTCCACACTGATCACCTTCCGAGGCATCCAGATGTTTGTATGGACTGTTAATAAAGTCATACTTTTGTTGTGAGGTCAGTGGAGGGGTTAGTCATGGTTTCAAAAGTCGCCAGTACGTGAAACACGTGCAATTATAGTATGCTTTTGCTTGGATGGTGGCAGGAAATGAGTACTGTTGTGCAGGGAATTACGCTGGGAATTTCATGAACGTTTGCAGGAAAAAAATTCCCCGAAATAAAGAATTTTCATGTCTCTGAATGGGAGTTCTTCGCCGTAGTACAGAAAATCACTGCATGTCATCACGCTCCTGCCTTCATATCAGTATCATTGCAAAGAAAGCGCGCATCAAATATTGTGTGAATGAGCAGACAACACGAGCAATACAAGTAGCCTAATAAAGGAAGGGGTGTGTGTTAATTGTAGTTCAGCTATTGCCGCAAGCCAATGAAGGGTGTGTCACGAATAAACCGTGCGCCAAGGACTAGCGTGATCAGTACCTCATTGTCCACTGTAGGGCTACAAGAACTATGTAGGTACCCGACGATAAAGTCGACTTTTTATTGCGATAGATATTATATGGACTCTCGAGGGGTGTTCTTACTGTCGCCGTCAAGTTTATCATAAAGTTCAAATATACGACAATGTCTCGCGCATCGTTTTTATTTTGTATGTTTGAGAGAATGCTTTAAAAAGCTGCAGACTGGAGTGGCTCCAGCAGTAATGAAGCGTGCAGGCCGGATTCATCGGAGGGTGGCGCTTAAGCGGGGGCCAGTGGCGTTGAGGGAGGGACACGTTGCTGGGCCAGCAGCTGGGGCTTCTATTTCTCTATTTAGTAAATGCACAGCATTTCCCAGTGAGCTTAAATGACTTCCTGTCAGTCTGTCTGTCTGTCCGTCTGTCTGACCGTCCGTCTGTCTGTCTGTCTGTCCATCCGTCCGTCCGTCTGTCGGTCTGTCTGTCTGTCTGTTATTTCCTCCTTAAGTTCGTTCAGAGAAAAAAACTGGCATGGGAGTGCAGAAGAATTGAATGAATTTGTTTGTCTGGTCAATATATGAAAACTTTTCTTGCACTAACAAAGTACTCGCGAAAGCAGCTACTACCCCTCATACAATTCATATATGGCATACTCTATACCCAGAATTGACAAGAACAGACTGATAATTTTATGATGAGAGCCTTAGGAGAATCGACATAAGCGGCGTTGACCCGATGAATGTAAAGATAAAAAAATATTATTCCAGCAAGAGTGGAACCTAAGCACTCTGCATGTAAGTCGGGTATTCTAACACAGAATCATGCTAAGTCTGCAAACTACTTCAGAAACTGAACCGAGGGTCACCATTAGGCTACCCTGAAAAGGAGCCAGAAATTAAGTCGGCGAAAGCCATAGTAACCACGCTATTTGTTATTTTCTCCACATTTGCAGCCGGATAGAAGAGAAGTGATGTTATGAGCAGTCCTCACTAATAATCTATTATTAATTCATTGCCTCATGCATTCTTTGCCTAATGGATGCACGAAGCTCACTAACCTCCCTACTACTACTACTAGTTTTAAGAGATACGCAATCTGTCATTAAAAACGATGTTCGCGCTTCGCGACTATCTGCGTTTTCTCATTATGTGCTGAGCGTCTGTCTCGCCTACTACGCACTACTGCTCTTTGATGCTAAAAAAAAAAGAAATCCCATATTTTTTGGCAATAACCAGAAAGTATGCATCCACATTTTTTTAAATTCAGTTCTCTATGAAATGAACGTAGGACAGTTGATAAGCTTGTTCAGTAAAGCTGCGCGGCTGACAGCGTTTCAGCACGCTTGTTCTTACTCCGATAACAGTATAGAGAGGTAACAGTTCAACACACAGCTTTCCTCAATAAGTGTGGCAGTGAAGCAACAAAGGTTCGGTTACTTGATGGGGGAAAATATATTTTTCCGAACGAATAATGTCTGCGCCTTCCGCCCGCCTATAACAACACGAAGCAGAGATAATGAAAGAAACATGAATTTTGCGTGAAATTATGCAACATAACTGTTAAGTACACTGTCAGGATTACTTTTGATCATCTGGATTCCTCCAAGCGAATGCAAATGTAAGTACAAGGGTGCATCCATATAAAGTTCGTCCAATGTCTGAATTGCGCATGGTGACTCAAGTATAACCACCTCGATGTCATTCCACCTTCTGCTCATTTTAAGCGTCAATTTAGGCACCCGAAGTGGGAGACTTTCCTTGACAGATATATTTTGCTATGGTGCGACCAGGACCTTACAATAAAATATTATCTCAGGACCATATAAAGCTTGTTGCATAACACATAAGTACAAGCTGCACAGTTAGACACCTTACAAACAAAATTAAGTAACAACGAAAAAAACGGAAAGGCTACATTCACATAATATTTAATATTCCTCATGTTTGGCATGACGCAAATGGAACTTTACGATGTATTTCAATTACAAAGTGATAACTGCACCGAAATGATCCTGGCGAACGGAGGGTATGAGGACGATATACAGCAGTCTCGGGAAGGGCACTATCTAATTTTATTGCATGGATATACAGGCGAGCAATGCCCACTGCTTCTGTAGTGCTAAATAGTAACAAGTTTCACTGACCAAGCCGGACAAGCCACCTTTTGAAAAAAACATGACACACGCACATATATGCTAGCCTTATGTGGCTAGCAGATGACGCAGGGAGCAATTCATGTTAGGTGAGCTTTAACCAGTGGCCACCAGGTGGCAACTTCATTCAATCTTGGAGAGAAAAAGAGAAGTGTGGTTTAACAAAGTGTCATTGATTGCAACTTTGAATGCAGCAGGCTCTTTGCTGAAGAGGTTGCGGTTGAATATCGGCCGGGATTCGTAAACAGGTCCTACCTTACCACGCGCTGAGCTCTTACGCCTACTTCGCGTTGAGGCGACAAATACCACAAACACCGCATCGCTTCCTGAAGCTGCTGTATTCTCTTAATTTATCTTTTGGTAGGGTTAAGTGATATTGGATTCTAATGTTCTTAGCTGCTATTGTATAGCTTCATGATTTTTTGTTGTCACATTCAAGTCTCTTCACCGATGCGGGGAAACTGTGAATTGTTGTGTTACTAGCAGGAAGATAGTGTTTATACACGCATAAATGAGGTAGTAGCATCATTCAGCCAACCGTAATCCTTCATTCAAGCTGCGAATTGAAGGCATGCCCACCATGTACTCTTCTTTGAGGAAGCCAGTCCGTTCGCCGTGACTGATGTATTCCTGAAGCCGAAGCACAGAGACTGGCTTCGAGGAAAGGCCGTGATGGGTAACGACTGCCATCATGAGATAATCCTTGCTGTTCTTGGTTATCATCGAACTTGATTCTGGGGTTACGTTTCCACCAGCTGCAAGAGAGAGAAAAAAAGCACAGAAGTTGTGACCGTAGTGCACAGTCATAAAGCTGTACTCAAATAATAGACGCCAAACATGAAGGGAAAGTATATGAGAAATCAAGCGCAATTGAAGGTATGCGTATGCGTAGTATGATCACGGGAGCGTTAATGACAAAATGCAAACTCTTTTTATGTGCACGGTGTTTTCCAGCATCGCTGCAGCAAAAAAAAAAAAAAAAAAAACGCGCCAGGCATGAAGAACAGGGGCGAAGCCAAGGGGTGGCACATCGGGCCCGTGCCCCTCCCCCGATATTTTTTTTTCGCTGTGACATAGCGAGAAATGACCATTTCAAAAGGGCGATCTCGCTGAAATCAGAAAGCTGCCCTCCCACCCCCCCCCCTTAAAAAAAAAAAATCCTGGCTATGCTCCTGGCGAAAGTTATAGATATTTTCTTCTTAAGTAGCTTGCGAAGCACATCGGTAGCCACTGTTTACCAGACACAGTCTCTCCATTGTTAAAAACATTTGTGGATGTTAAACATCATCAAGCTTCCCAGTCTTATTGTAACAGCCTGTCTATAACGCACTCTTAGCCTTATGGCAGACTAACAAGGCTAGGAGTCTAGACTTTTGGGATTTAAGATCTTGCCAGAACAAGCACTGATATTGGGTCTGTTAACTTAATACAGAACTGTTTTTATTTGTACATAGACCGCGTCGTTCGTGATTACCCCGGTGAGTTCATTGCGTGTTGCTCTAAAGCCTCTGTAGTCTCATTTAGGCAGCATTACCAAAAATGTCACAGCTTTGCCGCAAAGGCGAAGCAATGAACGCGATAGCAACAATTTGAAAGGTCACGGCAAAATGGAAAGCAGATGGACACGCGCCCCGCATTTCTCGCGCGCAAATGACACACAAAACGTACTCACAGGTACGGATGCACACGAATTAGCGTCTCATTTGTTACTTCGCTCAGTCCTGAAAAGCGCACGCTTTTCGCGAACGGAGACTGCAATGATTGTAGTGACCTTTGTGCGCCCGGTAACTACAGCAGAATTGTTCCATATAAAGCCCGAGGCCAGCCAAGGCGTACGATCCTCCCCTCCTCGCCACCGAGAGATAAGGGCACGCGAGGAGCGTAGCTCCCCTCCTATAAGCCGGGCAAACTACGCGTAGGAGATTAAAGCGGGCGCGGCTGCGTGATGTGGCGATGTGCGCTCATTACGTCATCTTTCTGGTAAGGCCGAAAACACAGCAGTGGTAAGTGGTAGATAGAGAGAAGTGATTCTTAAGAGAGAAAGAAAGAAAAGTGAGCCCCGTAACTGTCTGCTTCAGTGAGCGACACCTCAACAGTAGCTCACAAGGGATGGGGGTGAGGAGGGATAAAAAGGGGTAGGAGATAAGGTGTAGAAAAGAGGAGGAAGAAGAGAGGAAGAGACGTGAGGTGGTAAGCCAGAGCGAGCGACAACAAACTGAGGGGATAGAAGAGATAGGAAAGATGGAAACACGGTCACTGGAGTCCAAGGACGGGGCACACTTGTGAGAGCTCTTGTCGGCGTCGGTAGATGGCGTAGAGCAAGTCCAGTCGGTCAGAGCTACACTGTCGTCGAAGGTTGTCGGCGTCAGGAGGTGACGTAGGGTGAGCCCAATCGGCCAGAGCTACGCTGACGCCGGAGATCGCAAGCACGCACGCATAACCAGTGGGCACGGAGTCCAGCAAGCGAGTCTAAGTGGTAGATACAAATAGCTTCCCGTTTGAACGGCGAAGAATGTTCTACGGGGTGGCTCAGTGGTTAACGCCTCGCTTTCACGACGCAGAGGTCCCACGCTCTATTCCGCCCACCGGAGTGTTTTCAAAGACGATAGTCTTTTTCTGGGGGCCTTCGATGCAAAAAATTTGGTATGTCTGTCTGTCTGTACATTTGTTTGTCCACTCTTAACGGTACCGGGTACTCTGTACGGCACCAGCCGATAGCCCAAATAGCCGACCCCATCCGTAGTGCCCACCAATGTTGCTCAAGGTTAAGCGTTCATACCTTAGCGATTGTCAATTGAAAAGCAATGATTGCACATATCTGAGGCACTATAACAACACATATGTGCCGTATTTTACTAGAAAAGGCATACAGAAGTAATTCTAACGAGCCGTAGCATTTATCCCGCTTCGCTGACCATGCAACGCTTGCACGAAAAGGCGAATGTTTCCAACGCTTTGCTAAGAGAACACGGTGGTGGCACCTACCAGTCGCCTTGCTATCAACACCTTATCACCTCTGAGATGGGGCGCACGCCCGTCTCAGAGCGATGCGCTTCATTTTTCAAGAAAACTGCCAGATAGCGCTCATGTCTCACGTGTGACATGACTTGATGCGCTCGTTCACCTCCGCTGCACGCTCGAGGCACTCTAGCACAGCGCCTCCAGAATACCATTCACCAATTTCTTGCTGCAGAACATCAAATAAATGTTTTGTTCACTCTCTCCACAAGCAAGACTATCGTCCTTTCGACGACATTTGCAGATCAACATGCAGATACGAGGCCAATTTTTTCTTGATTTTTTTCTTTCTTGGGTTTTCGGATATATAGATACGTATACATATACGGTGCATGACATCGACGCCGACATCCTCGCCGACGCTGGCGGCAAAATCCAGCTGAGGGTGTCCATATTGCTATCAAAATAAAATCACAAAAAATCTTCTCAAGTCACGAAAAATTTTGGGTGTCCTTTCTCTGGGGCATTCACTACTTCCAAAAAAGTGTTTTGGTCCCACTTAAATGATACTGTGATAAAACTGGCCACAACCGACGCCTCCTTTTACTACTATAGCAATTATATGGACACTGTCGGCTGGATGTTGCCACCGGCGTCAGCGTTGCCGTCACTCACCGTATATGAATAGGTATCTACATGTATGAAAACGCATGAAAGAAAAAAAAATAATCCAGAAAAAGATTCCGGTGCGCGTAAACGAATGTCGCACCTCTGAATCGTGAGTGCAAGGCGTTAGCCACTGAGCCACACAGAAGCACCTCCTTAAATGTTCAAACGGCAAGCTATTTATATCTACCACATACTCCTGGTGATGGGAATCTCGGAGGAAACTATCGTATTTTCAGCATTACCAGCAAGATGGCACATTGAGCGCACGTCGCCATATCATCATGACGGTGTCGCGCACGCTCTCATCTCGACGTGTACTTTGCCCCGTTGAGAGAGGGCAGGGTGGACAACGCTCACGCGTGCTTATCTCACGGTGGGGACGATTGTACACCTCGGCTGGCCTTGAGCTTTGACCGGAACGACTCTGTTGCAGTTACCGGGTGCAAGAATGTCACTGCAATTGTTGCACAGCCTCCTTTTGCAAAAAGGGGGCGCTTTTCGGACATCACAAAGTAACAACTGATGGGCATATTCACGTTCATCTGTACATGTAAGTATGTTTTGTGCATGTTTTGTGCGTGGGAAACACGGGAAACGTTTGGACCTGCTTGAGAGTCTGCGCGTGACTTTCCAATTTGTTGCTGTCACGTTCATTGCTTCGCTTTTCCAGCTAAGCTGTGACTTTTGTTTCTTTCAATGCCAGTGCGAATGCGCGCTTGTTAACGGGGACTGCCGGTTCGCCTTAGTTCTGAGTGTGGTCGTGATGCAATGGTATATGAGAGGTCGCGATGGTTATGTTACACGTGCTTCAGAGCACTTTCCACACAGAGAGGCGATAGACGTGTTTCCCACTCCTATATCATACGTCTGTGAGATTTGTTGCATTGCGCTCCTTTTTAATGGCTCTAAGCAACGTTGCCGCCTCATCACCACACAGCGCATGTAGTAGCGTTGCAGAGACGCTTCCCCATTGGCTGCCCGCATAGCGCCACGAACGGTGACTCGCTATCGCAATGCACCGTATCTTTCACAGAGGCAGTGTGACCGCCAACATAGTGAACACGAGGAATTCAAGACGACGCCCCACAGATCTGCACACAACTGAACAAAAATTACTTGAGAAGCACGGACTGCTGGGCGAAACATTACTTCGTGTGAGGTACGTTGTGAGGCACTGCATCAGGGGCTCTTTTATCTATGACCACAAAGCTCTCACAAAGGCTAGGTGATGGGCGAGAGTAGGGAAGGGCTAGAGAAGAGGATGGTGAATGGCTGGCTCGGATGAATCTGGCTAGCATTGATAAAACAGAAGGAGGCGTTGCCACAACATACGGATGACATATTCTTCATTCAGCTGGTTAGTACGACGAAAATGAGGTTTTGTGAACTTTCCTTTTGTTTGGCAGATTTTTATTTTCATCTTGCTGCAGCCGAAATTTACTGCGTAAGCTTGGCTGCATGTCAGTGAAATAGATATAACGACAGAACGCCACATTTAACTTGACCGTATCAAGTGTATCACTGACTAGAACTATCTGCGCAACTGTTCCCTTCTGCAAATCATTTTACTTCTCACAAGCACATGACTCTGAATAGCGTACGACCAAAAAGCAGTGATCAGGTTAGTTGAGACGATGAGAAAAGGATAAAAAATTCAGAAACCAGCGAAGGATTTCAGTGAGTTAGATTGATCGGTTAAATCATACACAGTACTACTTCAGTTCTCATCCAAACTGCTTTTCAATTTTCGTTTGCATGTGCTACGCTCTTGTCCGCTCGGCAAATGAACAAACATACGGTAGTTGCTAAGTAGTTTACTGACAAGTTTAAAGTGTAATTCCCTATTTTACCTCCTTGAAGCGTTTCTTGCTATTGGAATACTACTTTGATGATCCTATGTGGTCCCTTACGAAAATTATATATTTCCGTAATATTGCTATGGGAAACAAGCGGAATCATCTGAGTGACATAGTGAGCGGTTGTTTAGTGTCTATATGTTTGAACACAATCCTGATAAAAATGATGACTTACACTTGGACAGCCTCGATAGAACTTTCATGCTTTGCCTTGTGGAGCTTTCAGAGCGGTAGATAGTTTGACGCCGCTTCCTGCAGGCATAGAAAAACCAATTCGATCGAATGCTCGAGTCATTGAATAAACTTTATTCAAAGGTTATCTTGCATTTTTTCTTCTGGTGGGGGGATGAGGCAAAGATTAATCTCTGTCTCGTCTCATCCACTATCAATGATGACGATGATGATCGTTGAGGTGCCATTGGTGACGGCTCGAATTCTGTGGACCCGGGTGGCGTTTTCGGTTTGTCGGAATTCCTAAAGCTGCTTGGCGAGAATTCTTCAACAGTCAAAAAGTGAGGTATAAAGCCCCTTAAGTGTGGACTCAGCATTGTTGTCATTTTTATGCTGACTGACGCTTTTCTGTAATGGTAGCCTTTCCAAAAAAGCTAAGTAAGTGGCAAGAACCACCTGGTGGTATTCCACAAAACTAGTTTATTTTATTTAGAAATAGTGCAGGCATCTCTGCACCTTGGCCCAGCAGCAGGAGCATCAAAACAAGAGAGACAACAAAACAAAAAAATATAAGAATGTGAATACATTGCAACACGAAATAAACGTAATGCATAAAAAAAACAGCAATCACCCTTCCCTTCAGCAAAAAATTCACTAAAAACAATGGTGTGCCAAGGCAGCCATAAAATCATTCGACTCATGGCTTCAATAAATAGACAATTCCAATCACTCACTGTTCGGCGAAAAAAAAGAACCGTACTTGTGAGCGTTTGTTCTGGCGAAAATCCGCACGAACAAATGTTCGTGTCTGTGTATTGTTTTCCTTGTAGTAGGTCCGCAAACCGAAGAGGGCAACGCCATAATATTTTTCGCAGCAAGGGTTTTGTGTAGTAGTAAGAGACGATTAAGGTTCCTGCGTGTTTGTAGTATCTGTATTCGGTTTTGTGACATCAATGATGATGGGGAATCATGCCTGACATGTATTCCATATATAAATCTCACAGATGTTTTTCTGAACTTGCTCAAGTTTCAGAATGTCAGTCTTAGTATGTGGGTCCCAAACTGAGGCAGCATATTCTAATTGAGATCTTACGATTACAGTATAACCTAATATTTTAGTTTTTACTGGCACATATTTAAGTTTTATATTTTCGAACCAAAGCTTATTTAAGGCGGTTGAGCAGATATCTGAGATATGAGTTGTCTATGTTAGTTTATTGGTAATTGTGACTTTCCAAGGCACTTGCATTTTTAGACTTACGTTACTGTTCTGTTTTGAAATTGATAATAAAGTTTACTGGGCATATTTTCTTGTTTCACATAAGAATACGGGGTTTTCCGCATTTAGCTGCATTCCCCCATTCATTGATTGACTGATATCTGGGGTTTAACGTCCCAAAACCACCATATGATTATGAGAGACGCCATAGTGGAGGGCTCCGGAAATTTTGACCACCTGGGGTTCATTAACGTGCACCCAAATGTGAACACACGGGCCTACAACATTTCCGCCTCCATTGGAAATGCAGCCGCCACAGCCGGGATTAGATCCCGCGACCTGTGGGTCAGCAGCTGAGTACCTTAGCCACTAGACCACCGCGACGGGGCCCTCATTCGTCCACCACTCAGAATTTGCTACTAGGCATCTCTGCACCACTTCATGATTATCACGTCACACAACTTTCTTAAAAATAACACAATCATCCGCGTATAACTGTATAGACACATTTGCAAGAATAACATTTATTATATCATTAACATATATTGAAAACAATAAATGCCCTAGCACACTGCCCTGAGGAACTCCCGAGGTGACTGGTCGGGCACCAGAACTGCACTTGCGGGCATTGACAAATTGCTCTCTGTTAGATAAGCACAAATCCACTGTAATATATCACTCTGTAGTCCATTTTTTTGTCAGTTTATATAATAATTTTCTATGCGGAACCCTGTCGAACGCTTTACTAAAGTCTAGAAACAGCATACATAGTTGCCCGGATAAATCAAGCACTTTGGAAAATTCAGGCACAATTGTTACTTAGTTGTATCACCATATAAAGTTCTTTTCGAAATCCATGCTGAAAATGTGTCAATATATTGCTATCTTTCAGAAACTCGTGTATAAAACGAGCGACAATATGCTCCAAAACTTACAGCTTGTGCTAGTAGTAGATAAAGGTGTGTAGTTTGAAACTGTTGCACGGCCTCCCTTCTTGTGTACTGGCACAACGCGAGCCATGCACCAGTTTGCCGGTATTGCTCCCGAGTTTAACGACCACTGAAAACACTTAGAAAAAAAGTTGAACATTTGTTCAGGTTGTCACCTTAAGAAGGTATTAGGAATATTAGAAGGAGCAGCCAATTTTTTATATTTGCATTTAGGAGCAGCACCAGGACACTCTCACGCGGGATGATGTTATTCGTCGTAGGGCTACATAAAAACTTAGTCTGTCCTTGTTCAGTAGACAGACTTTCAAATAAGCATTAAAGTGTACCGCAAGGCTTTGAGCATCAGTTATTTCAGTTCCATTAGCATAATGTTCTCTATCTGCTGTTTTCTTTGACTTAGGTGTAACCAAAGCTTTTTGGATCACTAGAAAGAGATAATTCAATATTAGTGCCAAAGAACCTATCTTTGGTCAGCTCTACTTTTATCAATGATTCTTGTTTCAGTTATTCAAACTGTGGACTCGTTGATTTGCTCCTCTTTCTCAGTCTTTTAATTTTACGCTTGGTTTGAATGATTTGTCTATTTATTCAAACATTGTTTCGTTGCTGTCTTACACACTTTAACGTTACAAAGTGTTCAGTGCGGTACTTTACGACGTCCTGAAGTCTTTGCCATGAAAGTTCAACATTATTATCAATTATGTCAAGATGCGTGTCTAGGTAATTTTGATTGATATATCAGCCTTTGCGAAGTCCCTAATTTTTTTAATGCTTCACAATTTTGATGTGTTACTCTTGAAGCTTCCCTGCAAAAATATATAAGCTTGTGGTCAGATATACCAGGCGCCGCCACCACTGCTCCATCCAAACTATCAGTTTTAGCGGCATCACCACCCGCTACGCAAAGCCATTATTTAAAGACGAAGCACACTGTATGGAGATTTGTGCGCAGAATGCCGGCAAGTATAGCACCAGGGCTCGCCAAACATCAACACGGTCTTGCAGCGCCTCGGCATGTGTTGCCCGAAACACAACATATGAGTCACAGGCTTTAAAGAAGAATGTCATTTAGGATGACTGCCAGTTGGTTATGTCAGTATAGGTTCATTAAACTGTCTTTATTGCTGGGTGTGGCCATATGTAAATGCCATTGACGAAACGGCGACGTGATTAAGCGCTCGATAAAGCCGTCCGCCACAATATCTGTAACCAATTCAACGCTTAATGCAATGCAACATTCAATATGAAAAATTCTCGTAACGCTGCATATTAGTTGATTTGGGGAAGGGTAGCCAAAGCCTGCTGTTTATTTTTCTAACCCTTTCGTAATAAACTGGCATCACCGTTTGCGCAGGTACCTGCGAGAGGAGGAAACGGTACCTTGTGTATGTAGCTCACATGGCAATAAATATGGCAGACAGTCAGCTCGCTTTGAAGACATGAAATTTGCTGCACTAAATAAGGTACTCACCTAATGCAGTAGGACATCGTGGCCATTGCTGCCCCTATAAGGCAAATGATAACCAGGCTTGCTCCGATGATGACACCGACACCAGCTGAATCGCTGCCCCCATTGACTGCGTCAGATGTTTAGAAGAGTGATGTTGCATTCAGTACAGTGAATGATTTAACTTATCCATTGAAAACTTATCAACGAGCAGCCACAGAAAAATTGAAATACAAACAAGTTATCTAGAACTGAAAAATCTATTCTTTCGTTTTGCTTCTTGTCAGAACGCCTATCTTATACAGCCGCATATTTACCCAAGCGAAACTGCACTCTCGAGCCATAAGCTTGTAGAAGATCTTCCCATGTCTAATTATTTCTTAAGATTTGACTTATCCATAACTTTTTTTTCTCTACTCATTGCATTAAAGTGCAGTACCAAGTGCTTACCAGTGACAGCAGCTGTCAGGCTGTAGCCTTGCAACACATCCTGCAAGAAAAGATCCCAAATGAGTTCCAGTAGGTTGCTTGCTGGAAAGAGGCTTCTTCAAAACAAATAAAAGTTGCACAGTTTTGCCCTACAGGTAGCAAGTACGCAGTGTATTATCCTAATATTTGATGTGGTACTTCAAACGCGCGAAAGAATTTTCGTGGGCTCGGGCTCAATTGCGGCCAACAGTGGCCACAGCTCAATGGCAGCAAAATGATAGAAAATTGCTGGGTGTACGGTGTGTATCAAAACACCTCAGAAGATCGTAATGAATGTGAAGTTTTCCCGCACAGCTACAACTCACGTTTCTGTCACAGCTTCGGCGCGTGGAACTTCAACATTTACTTTGAGAACTGCATGATGGAGTTGTTTCTCGCCGTGGTTTCTCACCACTCGGTAAACTCATTGCAATTTAAGCACATATCCATAACCTTAGAGTAGGTAAGAAGCGGCACACTTCACTCGTGGTTTCATTGAAAAGGTTGTAAAGGGACTCTAAAGGCAAACAGAAAATGGACATTCATCCTAAGACGACGATCTGAGAAACCTCGGAGCAGTCATTTTGTCTTAAATGAGAGTGAATTTAGTGTAAAACTTAGTTTTTCAAGCTCCGCATATCTTTGAAACTGTGCTAACTGCTTGCTCATAAACCGGGAGAAGGATGCCACAAACACCTTCTGCGGCATTTAGTGCCCGACCTCCGCCGCTACAATTTCTTGTTTGCCGGGAACACGTTAACACAAGGGCACATCATTGCACTAGAAATATGCAGGCACTGACACTCTTTTCGAAACGTGTTGACGAGTGAAATCTTCACGCGTCCGGTTTATTTTCGGGCTATTATCAGCTTCTTGCTGCTTAGTCGGTGCCATTTTTGAAGGCGCCACGAAAGTCGGGGTCATTCGTGCTTCAGCGATGCTAGAATCGTTAATTCTGCATCTTTTTTGCTGACACGTGTAGTTGTAACATTTTAAATTCGAAGCGTTTTTAGCAAACTTCAGCAACTTTGAGCGTATGCCTGCCACTTTTAGCTGTCCTGGCCATTTCGAAAATGGTATTGATACCAAAATTATTATGGCATAACATGACTGTATGACGAGCATAAGTGACCAGTTATTACATGAAAATCATGACATGTACGTCACGAATATTATGATTTACATTTCGTAGTATTGCTGCTCTCGCGATTATTTTGTTCACATGGCATGTTGCAAAACTGATATAGTATAGCATAACTGCATTGTGAACACAAGCCATAGACCCTAACATAAAAATCATGACATGCGTGTTGTGTAAGAACATGACTACATGCCACACTTATGCGTGTGCGGCCGTTTCGCTGGCTTCTCACATACAAATTTGGTATGACGGGACGTGAATGGGTGACGAAGGCATGTGACTGGTCCGAACATGATAATCATGAGATGCGTGTCCTGTAACAACATAACTACATACCACGCTCATGATGCGCTCGCCGCCATTTCACTATAGCTTCACATATACTAAGTTTGGTGTTACGTGACGTCAATGGATGACGAAGGTATATGACTGGTGCAAACATTATTTTCATGATATGTGTGTCATGTAAAACATGACTACATGCTACGCTCATAGCGTGGTCGTGGCCGTTTTGCTGGCTAAACGTATACCAAATTTAGTATTGCGTGACGTGAATAGACAACGAAGATAAATGACACATCAAGCATGATAATCATGGCATGTGTGTCATATAAAACTTGACTACATGCTACGCTCACAGCACGCTCGTGCATGTTTAGCTAGCTCCGCATATACCAAATTTGGTATCAGGTGATGTGAATAGATGACGAAGGTAAATGACACATCCAAACATGGTTATAATGACATGAAAGTCATGTACGGCATAGTTTACCTTTGTCTCGTGACAGTGTGCTGATGATAAAGTGATATATCGACCTTCTTCATTCGTGCTCTGCATATCATTGATTCACACTATACGTGGGATCTGCCAATTTTAGCCATTTGAGCATGTGTTTTAAGGAGCTCTATTCATAGAGTTTTCTAAAGGAAACTCTGGCATTGGTGTCTATGGGAGCTCCAATGCATGGCACTTCAGCGAGCATGGGAGTTATAGAGTAATACATGGATTTGCCTAGTCTGTTCTGTTCTGTTTTAACTGTTTTGCTGTGGAGAGGTTGAGGTGCCTATTGCCTCGGCTACTCCTTATCACAAAGTTCTGCAGCGAAAAATAAAATAATAATACAGAACGATACCCAAAAATTAACAATATGGAAAAGAAAAAAAAGAAAAAAAAACATAATAGCACCCAGAAACCAGTTCAAATATCATGCCAATACACAGTTTTCTCCACGCAGTTGACACAGTCATAAACTACTTACATGCACACCTTACTCCTCTAATGTCAGTATATGCATGACCACACTTTACATAATACCCATCTCTGGCTGTCAATCATAGGTGCTTGTCCAGTCTGGTCTGCACTAAAACGTCTGTCAGGAAGATTATTGCCTTTTTCTGGAGATGCATCTCAGGCCATGGTCCAAGTAGTTTCTTTATTGTGAGGGGCCGTCTGTCCAAACTTGCTAATTTGTTCTTTAATTTTTCTCTTTCATTCGCGTACTTAACGCACTCCAAAAGAATATGGCGAACATTTTCTTCTGCATGACCACAGAGGCATTTCGGTGAGTTGGATCTATGTATCTTGTGCAGGAAGCTGTTTGTGTATGCTACTTCCAATCTAAGTCGGTGGATCAATGTCTCTAGGTGTCGTGGGAGGTCTGTCGCTATGGAAAATTTTCTGTGTAGATCAACTTCATAAAGTACCGTTTCCTTTGATTTAGGGCTCTCAAACCGCTTCTCCATCAAACAATGGTTAGCTCCTTGCGATATAAAATGCCGAATATCCACCCCAGACATAGGGATTGCGTAATCCCGCCCTTCCTTCAATGCTTTCTTCGCGAGACTATCAGCATCTTCATTTCCCTTTATTCCAATGTGGCTGGGTATCCATTGTACCACGATGTTGTGACCCTGAAATGAGGCATATTCCACAGTTTCTGCGATACATTGTGCTATTTCACCGTTTTTGTAAGGGGATCTCACATTTCTGATTAGCTGAAGAGCAGGTTTGCTATCAGTGCATATCACCCATTTTCGTGGCTCAGGATTCTCGCAGATAAGCTTAACTGCTTCAAAGATAGCCACCAATTCTGCTGTCGTCGATGAAGATTTGTGCGATAATTCGTACATCTTCTTTTTCTGAATTTCGGGTATAAAGACCGCACAGGCTGACGCTTCTTCTGTGCAGGATCCGTCTGTATATATCTTCGTATTTTCATTATGCATTACATGAAGCTGATGACGTACCAACTGTGCCGCTACTAGAGGTGCCATGTCTGCTTTCTTCTCTATGCCATCTATTTCACGGATAACATTGAGAAGTGGCAGCGTCCAAGGTGGTTTTGAAGGTTTCCATTGTTTAAATTCTGGCACTACTGCTTGAAATGATGATATATTATCCTGTAGTCTCGTTCCCGTCCTTTGTGTTAGTGCACCAGATAAAAAATGACTTTCATGTTGAGTGAAAATTCTAAATAAATTTAGAGATGTTTCTTTAGTTCGGAGCACTGCCAAAGGTGGCTCTCGAGCCTCCGCATACACTAAAGCACTGGAAGTTGACCGTGGTAAACCCAGACATACCCTCAAGCTCCTTGCCAATAACAAGTGAAGTCTCCTTTCGGTGGAGGCTGGGAGTCCGTGCAGCAGAGGCAGTGAGTAAGTTACGATGGGACGTATCCAAGCAAAATGTAGGGCTAATAACGACTCTGTAGTACCACCCCATTTGGCCCCGCAGAGATGCCGGAGGATTCGAATGGCCTGATTCACTTTTTATTCCAGGGACTGGACATGAGGCGACCATGTCAGTCTCCGGTCTAAAATTACTCCCAAGAATTTATGAGTTTTAACCATTTGAATAGGCTCATTTTTCAGAATAATCTGGAAATTTCCAGGCCTTTTTAATGTAAACCGAAGTATGGCTGTTTTAGCCAGACTCAGTGCCATACGTCTTTTTTTGAGAAAGCGGTCTACATAATCCAATCCTTCTTGTAGAGTTTGTTGTACATCCAAAAACGTCTTTGTACTTTGTGTTTCTGCTGGCTTCGTGCGGCTTGAAGCTGCTTTATCACGAAACAACAATCGGCAAATGTTCGGCAGTTACACTTCACCAGCATAAGTTTTTAGGCTTACCACTTTAAATCCGATCACGAAGTTCAAAAGGCTTGATTTTTTTCTTCGAAACAAAACTGAACCACAGAAATAGATGAAACCACAAGAGTGATTCGCTGCCCGCAGGTATGAAGACTAGGCAAATTTATGTCATAATCATAATTCCCATGGTCGCTGAAAGTTCACAGCACCACAGTCCTTTCTAGTTAATATTAGGAAATTCTATGCTTCTATTGACGTAGGTTGTATCGAATGGCTGAGAGTTGTCTGAAATGAATAAAAATTATTTTGTATCTAGCTGCAGTTCTGGCTATCAGACTTGTGCAGAGCATGTCCCTCTCTTTAAAGTGCCGTCCGGGTGTGATCGCCTGGAGCAATGGCACAAGAAAATCCCCAACCACACGACCTTTAAGTCTATACTGGTCATGTCTTCGCTATCTATCTTATAAAGCACGCAATTTCAACAACCAATCACTAGTAGCTCAAGAGGTGAGTGCTACTTGACGAGCTAAATAGGCATCTTCCACTAATGAATGCCACTTTCACCTAATCCGCGAACTGTTCTGAGCACCTCTTCACTTGGTCAAGTAAACCCAGAAAGCCACCGCACAAGAAAGAATTCTTGGGAAAGCACCCAAACAATGTCATTAGGTCGGCAATATTTACACGGCGCATAGGCGTGTGCATGGTTCCCCTTAAGGGGGTGAACGTTCATCGTAGGCCCTCCCAGCGAACTAAATCAAAGCATGGGGCACAATTTGTGCACCCCGAATTTCAAGTTGATTCTTGGCCTTCCTTTAGTCCGTGTCGGCCAGCGCTATCCCTCCAAGTACGTTAAGTGAGAAAGAGAAGAAGAAAAAAAAACAGAGACACAGATAGAGGATAAGTAGCAACACACAAGGCAATGAGTCAGTGATGGCTCAATGACGCATGCTACTCGTAGAATATTCAGAGCCTTCTTCGCACACGGGTGTGAAATTCAAACTTTCCCCTGTCATTCACTGTACAGCCATACTTAACGCCGCCGTCCACACACTACTATGCAAGGCGTGTGATGCACCTCATGCCAAGCTCGATCACCTCATATGGGCCTGTTCCGCAGCTACTCACACAATAAATTACAGCGCAGAACGTACATTCACAATCACCACGGCCGAGCAGCAAACACGGCCGAGCAGTGGGAGGCTTTGCTGCTCGGCGCGTGCCAGGAGGACTAGCTCTGGGCTTGTTCGGCTGGCTTAAGACGCCGCCAGTATTCAAGGCCCGACCACTGCCTGAAGAATGAGGATTACGAAGAGACCTATATTCCGGCTCCCCACCACCTTTCACCATACCTGAAGTGTCCTTCTCTCTCAAACTTCACGGCACGTCCGATCAGCTGCGCGATAACGGCTGGTCGTCTGAGTCCGCAACGACTGTTGAGAGTGAGTGTGGGAACTATAGTGAGGAGCCAATGATACAGATATTTTCGATTATTTTTTCGTAACTGTGATAGTAAGTGGCAGCACTGACAGCACACATAGCTGTCACCAACTATGTGCCATTTCAAGCTACAGAAGGCAGAAAACAATTCTCACGGACAGCGGTCATACGGATGAAATCAGCAGGAGTCATAGGTCCACATGGATAATTCCAGTTTGGAGTAAGTCGGACGTATTCCACATATACTTTTGACATGACACGTGGAGTACGAATTCTTGGTGAGCAAAAACACTGACAATCGGTGAGTTGGTGATGCATCACTTCGTGAGTGGGTTATATCGTGTTAATTTCGTGTGCATTCTTAGCTCTATCAGGAGCATGTTTGTAACCGAAGACATCGCAGTCACCCCGTAACCAGCGCAGCATTAATGAACGACATTTGATATGTCGGTGTTTTTACTAGCCAAAAGTTCATCTGACAAAGGCATAGATATATACACACAGAGAATTGTCATCGTCAGCTTTAAAGCAGTCATCTCTTCTGGTGCTGCAAGAAAAATCCAAAAACCACGTTAAACTTTAAACTGAGAGCCCGGCAAGCGCCTTCTCTGTTTTTGTCTCGAAATGTGCGCAGAGATCTGCAGTAGCAGGAATCTTCGTCGAATAAGCTAAAAACACGAAGTTTCGAACCGTGTTAACAGAACCACATCGACTGTCGCGAAGCTCATGGCATTCCGCAGCACACTCGCTAAATGCGATGCGTAACATCACTTTATTGAAACAAGTTTGCATATTAACTACAATGACAGCAATCCTTTCCAACTGCGCTACTTCGAGAGCCAGTTTGTGCTGCCAGAAAGACGACGGTAGTGTCACTCACCCCAGAAAAGTTGCTCTCGACAAGCAAGCCGAACCAATACGTCGTGGCCTCACTGAGGGGCGGATTCTCGAAACCACCAATAAGGCTGCCACTGCCGACAACAAAATCCATCGGTTGCTCCAACTGGCCGGGAGTCAGGCAAGCAGCGACGTAGTAGCCAAGGCCCATGTCCTGGGAAGTGGTGTAGTTCACGAGCCTCACCGGACGAGTGATGACTTCGCCTTCACGAAGTACGAGGACGTAGTAGCTTCTGAATGACGCATGCGAAATAACCAGGAAAAACAAGCGATCACGTCAATTAGTTGCATTGTTAAGTCAGAAGCGTTCAAAGAGAAGCAGCGAAACAGCGCCAGCGAAAACAAGGGACCAGACGAGGAGAAACGAGATCTACAAAAAGTGTGTGCGTGTCCTTTCTCCTCGTCCGGTTCATTGTTATTGCTGGCACTGTTTACTGAAAGTAAGAACCACGTAACAGAACAGTCGTGTTGAATACGAAAGTAAAAATAAAACAAATCGAAACCAGTTAACACCAGGGAAAAGTGTCTTTTTTAATGAATTTACAAGCTTTCTGGTAATTTCTTATGTTTACGTTCGTTAGCTTTCCATGAAATACTTGCGACTGGCCATGTGCTCAGCATGTCATTTTGCCTGCGAGTCGTTATAGTAGAATTTAAGCATGTTTTGATGAGTGGGCTTTAACCCTTATTTTGTTTGTGACTTGCCGGCGAAGCTGTGGTATTCTTTGACCAGCTAGATCAACGTGATGTGAAAACGACCTATAAGTCGTTCACACACCACACTTCATGCACCGCACTACTATATATAGTAGTGTGGTGTGTGAAGTTATTGACATTTAGGAGATTCAATACGCACACTGAATATTTCAGTAAATTGAGAAGTATGAAACTAAACACCGCTTTAAGGTATGCGGCCAAGGGAAAAAGTTGAGTTTTTTTTTCAGAATGCAGTGTTTTGATACTTTTTGCTAGCATTTTTTTTTCAGAAAGTACAAGCAAAAGTGATAGACCACCCGTCACCCCAAAAACCGAAACTGTAAGTGCCAGTGTTGTCTGCGTTATGAGATTAGCTTGTTGTATAGCATTTCGCTGGTTATTTTTGTTAACAATCACATCAAGTGAGAATGCATAAAATGCTCTAAAAGTATTCTCAATGCGTCCTTTTTAATTGTATAAGTCAAACTTTTCACAAAGCAAATGCCTTACGTGGTACGTGTGTTTTTTACGCTCAAGGACACATACGTGAGCATGCAAAACATCAAATTTATTTTTGTTGACACTGTCTACCATTTCAGTAATGACAAGCGCAGCACATTTGGTATTCTTAAGCAAAGTCATGCCGAGCCTGGCCTCTACACTGCTACGGCTTGTCCCTAAAACGATCAGCACCGCAGTGCAAAGGTGCCCCGTCATAGCACTGATGCTGCAAAAAAAGCTGGAAAACAGTTCAGAGGTGTCACTCCAGCAAAGCCACACTGTAGTAAGATCCGCGATGAAACTGGCTCCAAGTATGGAAAAACTTAATGCTCCTGATGACCTTGGTTAAGTGCTGCATCTATTTCACTTCTCTGTTTATTTTTTACTACCTACATTTCTGGTATTTTTCTGTACATGAGCTGTGATAACTCAATTACTAATAAACATTTTTTCATTAAAGCTTAGTACACTTCCTTATCACATTAATAGGCGTGCAAAATGAACATCAACAAAAAAATCGTGCCACCAGATTTCATATGGCTTTTTATACGAAGGTGGCCCTAGCAGTAGTTCATACTTTTTGGTTAATAAATCACTATGTTTTAAAAGTAATCAGATTCCATTAGTTTTGGTTTATTTTACGGGCCGAAGCTCCTTTATGTACCTACAAAAAATCATTTTTATTGAGTACAACTTGAGGTACAAGTGTTGGCGAAAGGGCAATTTTATTGACATCTTTAATTATGAAAAATTAACAAAAAGTAGGAATCATTTTAGAGAGCTAACACGTGCCTAAAAAGATGTACTTTTTATTGTAAATTATTAATCTGCAGTGGATATTGCGTTTAAGAAACGTCTTTCTGACACTTGGCCACCTGCACTTAAGTGCAAAAAATCACACAAAGACGCTTTTACCTTGTATTTGGACTTGCCGAAATTGAAATCAATGCATTGGTTGCAATATCGGTATCTGCTGCCAGAGTTACTTGCTCCATTTTTCAAAAGACAACATAATCTATCAGCTGCAGCAGTACATTTACATATCAGACTCACGTGATCGGTCCTTTTACGAAGTTCACTGGGTAAAGAGTGATGCTCACTTCATTATGGACCACTGCTCCAACCTGGGGCCCAATTTGAACTTCAGGAACTGCGTAAAGACGTGGTTGTGCCACGACAGTGAATGCGTGAATGCGATAGCAATAAGTTAGAATACCATAGCCGTATTTCATGCAGCTTTACTTTATAAGCAGGCAAGCGTGCAGCGTGGCTAAACTCACACACTGCAAGCCGTGCGTGGAATGATGATGTTTATAACAAGTGGCTTCTATGGCCAGAGCGCTTTAGGTTGTAACCCAAATGGGTAGCACACGACGTAAGACACGCAACGTCCCACCGTTCTGGTGCCCTAATAAGATGGACACAGCATGGCGTACAGCAACATATTTAAAAGTAACTTAATGAAGTTGACGACACCAGCCATTTCTTAACACGTGCTAAGGACACATTTCACAGAAGTTTCCGTGGTGCTATGTGTTTTTATCTGATTACACTGTCACCTTGCATTGTGGAATACACTTCATAACACACGCCATCCCCGGGGATCCTGGCAGGCTGGTAAAGCCTGCCAGGATCCCCGGGTTGGTTACATGCATACATTCGACGAAACCTGTGGCGTTCACTCAGACGCCCTCATAAAATATATTTTGAGCTTTGGACTAACTCGAACTCCAACTCACGAAAATTCTCCTGAGCTGGACTGACTCAGACTCACACTCATGAAAATTTTCTTCTGCCGGACTCACTTGGATTCAAACTCACCAAAACTTTACTGACCTGGACTCACTCAGACTCAGACTCATGGCTTGATCTGAATCTGAGTGAGTTCGAGTGAGTCGACTCATGAGTCCGTCAGCCTAGAATTATATAGCTTCTTCAGCCGTGATGTCAATGCTCTCTGAACAAATATCTCACGTAATTGGTTCTCTTATTAGTACCGTTTGACATAGTACCTTCCAAAAGGAATTCCTGGTGCTTTCAAATGACTAAGATTGTTTTTTCTTGGAAAAAATCACAGCATAGGATATGTAATAATCAAGATATGTTTCCTGGAAAAGTTGGCGGGGGAGATGAGGGCATCTGCCTCTATACCTCACGCCTCTAATATTTTACGCCTCTAATTAACAACCATTGAAACGGTGTATGAATGTCAGTGCTTTGAATACCTGTGAGTAGACATGAGTATAAACGTGAATGCGGGGAAAGCTGACAGTAATGCTGAAGATGACTAGATAGGACCTTGAGTCAGCAAAACAAAATAAAACTCACACAGACTCATTCAAGAAATATATTTTGCGCTTTTGACCCACTCACACTCAGACTCAGCAAACTTTTTCTGAGCCGAAGTCACTCAAACTCAGACTCACAAAAATATTACTCACCCGGACGCGCTCATACTCACACTCACAGCTCGCTCTAAGTCTGAATGAGTCCGAGTGAGTCGACTCAGGAGTTTGTTCGCCGACCTATGGTTACATAGTGTCTACCGAGGGACACAAGGCAGCTAAGCCTCCTCGCTCCTCCTTCTGAGAACGCATGGCCGAGAAGTAAGCATCTTCAGTTCAATGAGGCTTGTGTTTTACAATAACGGACTACTGGTTGACTTGAGGCTAAATGCGACGAGACGATGCCCGGAGCATTAAAGCTTTGCAGCTAGTGCCACTTTCGTGTAATCTCTGCTTGATGCAAGTGCATTGTCATTCCCTGTCTTTGTACGTGAGTTATCCTGAGCTAGAAAAAGGTTATTACGATGTATATATGTACCAACTAGCTCGTCTTTTACTGTCAGTTCACTTGAAATGCATGAGAGTGACCACATCCCAACTTGCGTGCGGATGTAAGGTCTTAACAGCTCCTCGCCTAGGACCACAACACGGACGGTGGATTATTCCAGATTTCAGCGACTCATGGAAACGGCATGCCGAGAAGATCTTGGTCGTACCTTAGAGGATCTAATCAAAGAGGTGATAAGGAAATTTTCCCCTTTTCTCCCGCTTACTTGCAAAAGATCAGGTTTCGACATAGAACGAGAAAAATTGCGTGCACTTCGCCGAAGAGTGAAGAAAATACAAACGCATGAAGGCAATATGGGATTTGAGGCTGGCATGGCGCATGCAGATGAAAGACAAACGTCATTTGAATAAACTCGAACAGCAACACTCGAAATGATTCTGCGAGTCATTGGATCCTCGAAATCTGTTGTCATGCATTTGAAGCACTGTTCATGGCTGGCGCTCGACTTCTCAACAAATGCATCCTTCCATGACTTTAGTCCTGCTTTTAGGCCGCACCCAACTTGAAGTTGCGAATGATTTCTGAGCACTAACTGCTGGCTGCGCATCATGTTAACTTCCGCAGTTGAGACTGTTTTCCCGAACACCTGGATCCCCTAAATGCACGATCAGTCACTATAAAAGAACACGTATCTCTGGTGCCTTATTGATGATCATCTTCGCCAGCACCCAATGGCATCACCTCAACTGATTTATACAACGTTCAACAAGATGCCAGGGGAAAGCTCACGACAGATTGAAGCTGTTCCCCACGAATGGAAGATAAATCAGCATGTGCAACTACAAAAGCCTGGAAAGTCACCATTTGATTTGACACCATTTCGCTCTACTGTCCTCGCAATTTGTGCATTGAGTGATAGTCATGAAAAAAAATACACATGTCTATAATGGTATCTCGAGCGCTACAGTGCATACACACACTGCATGACGGGCTTTCGGCGAGGTAAGTCATAAGTAGACAACGCAGCTGACCTCACTTTTACCCGCAACAAAAGCGTCTCAAGCGCACATCACTAACGCTACGTTCTCTTTGTCAAAGGAACATATGATAACGTAACACTTGACGCCATCCGTGCGTCGTTAGAGACTGTAGAATTTGGCAGTGGGATGCTCTAGTCGATTCAGGATCATTGTATGAGAAGTTCCTTTTTTGTACAGAAAAAAATATAGGAACACTGCCAATTACTTCACCTTCCTTGCTATCCCTTAGGTCACAATGTTGAGGCACACTTTGGTTAATTGTGTCTTGTGCCAAGTGCTGTTCACATATGCGTATATTTGTTTGTGGTCTTCTGTAACCTTCTGCAAGTGCATGCAAGAAAGAATCTAGCAGGCGGCCACCCTGACATGCTCGCATCACCACAAACATTGTCTTTCTGTCTCAGCAGAGAAATGTGAATTGGTCGCGTTTACTCGCAGGGCTATGACACCATACCCTATTTTCATTAATCATCAAAATGTTCCATACCAGAAGAACCACCATTTACTTGGGTTAACTCTGACAGGGACCTTTCGTGGCATGAAGAGAAGGCTAACTTCCATCGTTCATATAATGCGGTTTTTCTGCTGGGAAACTTGGACCCCATCGACAAGTTCAATGATGCACCTATACAGAGCATTGTTTCTGCGATTTTTATGCCACAGTGTGCCGTGGCTGGCAGGTACATGCAAGACTGACACTGCACCCTCGAAAGTCTGCAAGGAGAGCCACTGCACGCATTCTAGGAATGGCCTTTCTGCGTCTCAACCCACGCGACAATTATGACAGCAAGAGAGTACACAATTCCAACATACGTCACCACTTACAATTTACGAGGCCACATAAGACACCTCAGCGGAGTTCCCGGTCACCATATTGTTGAGTCGCCACTTTAGAGACCACAAGAGATGTCTTCAACGATTATTTTTAATCATAGAGAATGACTTCCATGGGATTTCACTCCAGCAGCCACAGCACTGTCGCCTCTGTAGTGCCTACAACCACCACAGGTGTGGGTCACTATTTTAAAAATTACGAACATGAGCCATCATTCAATAGTAGTCCTACGACAGGTGACATGTCGCTACCCAACGAAGAATATGGTCAATGGACCCACATCTACACCGATGGATCAGCCTCAGTTGGTAGCTCTACAGCAGGTGTTATACTGGCGTGCCAAGTGACTGTAAAGTTCAAAGTTTCCCACACGACAATATCTGCATCAGCGCAGCTTGCCGCCTTACGTGCTGCTATACTTTTTATCACAAAAGCATGGCCTCAACAACGGACTCTTTTTGACTTTATGGTATCCCTTCAGAACTAGCACACAGAGTTACGGTGAACGGTGCATAAATAGCTAGTAAATATAATGAAAAATTCCTTCACCAAGTCTTATCCAATGAACATGGCACGGTGTTCCACTGGTTACCTGGACAATGTGTCATTTTGGGTAATGACCTTGCTGTTGATGCGGCCCGGTTCACCGACGAGAACGCCCCGACAACGCCAAATCCGTTGTCGAGAACCGATGCTGCAAGGGCCTTGCTTCGATGCTTCGCTCGTTTGTTGACATAATCTCGGAAACTTGGCTAAGTGACCCTAGGGTCGGGAACCACCGCCCAGATAAATCGGACCATTCCATTTAGAAAGGTTCAAGTTTCGTATCTCTTCCACCGGGACGCAACACTACTGTGTCACCTGGGATTAGGGGTAGCTTTCACGAAGCTACTTTCTTTTCGCCAAAGAATGAGTGATATCTCCAGATGAGACTTGTACGATAGTGAGGAGGGAATAGGACATCTGCTTTGCACCTGTCATCGTTTTGCGAGCGAACGCGACTTGCTACGTGAAACGCTAAACAAACTAGGTGATGGATGTTTTTCCGAAGAGATCCTGGAATCATGGCTATGCGTGTCGCAGGTCAGCAGAGCGACGTGGGCATTGCTAGATTTTTAATGCCGACCGGACTAAGTGACTGCTTGTAAGCGCGCAATGCACAAGCGCGCATGTACCCTGACGGGGCTATCCAATCTCTCCTGTTTCTTTTTTTTAACCCCTCATACCTTCCCCAGTGCAGGGTGGCGAACCGGATGTGCGTCTGGTTGACCGCTCTGCCTTTCATTCCTTCTTTTCTTCCTCCTCCTCCCATGCTTGGTGCATTGTAAGATTGATTTAAGGCACACAAAGGTCCTATATTATACTACAAAGCAGCTCAATTCCACCGTTGACTACACACAAGTACAATGCAGACTTCTCCTAGTAAGATTACAGCTAAATTACTTAATCATATAGCAAAAGTCAGTGCCTAATTGAACCTATTTCTCAACCAAATTATATAGCTTTTGACCAGTTATTTGTAAATGATCTACCAAATTATAAAGCGAAAATCTTAAGATCACGAGTGGAGGCTGCGACTTCTGTTCGAATAACTTCTCACACTACACAACCTACGTAAGCTCGTGTACTCACCTGATGCCTTGGTGCTAAAGTTCTCACAAATGGCATTCCCGAATCCAGCACTGGTTGCTGCCTCGACGCAGATCAAATACGTGGACCCCGGAAACAAGCCTCCGAGATAAAACTCCCGTGAGTCGGAGCTGTTCAGTGACACCGACATGGGGAGCAACGATTTGTCCAGCATCGCGTTGAAAGTGTGCGACAGGCTAAAATTCAACTGCACAAGGAAAAAAAAAAAAACCACATTCGAGAACTTTCACATCGACCATGGCCGCGGGAATAGAATTGCGCAAAAAGTAACCCACCCGGCCTAAACACGGCACTCCTACTGCTAGTTTGAGCCGCACTGTGTGATGTATATGTGAAATTGGCCTCGAAAGAATAAAACCAATGTCGGTTAGAGAGCAGGCTTTTACAGTGGAATATACGAAGCTGTACAATTACCGCCTCGTACAGTGAGATAGCGTTCGAACTCCGAGAACACCTTGAATAGAGGCTTAGGCATTCCTTGTTTATCTGGCCCATCAGGCCTTGGAGCATAAGCTTTATATTTTCTTAAGTTCTCTTGATAACAATGGCAGAGCATTGACATTACTATTTTCGTTTTTGAATTGTTCTCAGGTAATGATGTATGCAAGAGAACCGATGTCTTATAATAATATCAGTTGTATGTCTTCTAGCTGGCCTAAAGAAGACAATTATCCATGAGTGCAAAAACTGGCACCGTATGGATTGCAGCCCACGACTGTGAGGAAATGCACATGAATTTATCAGGAAGGTACGTGCCGGTCCGAGGTTGACTTGGGTACCAACGCCTTGCAGCTCAAGGTATTTTGTGTTTTTTTTTTTTGCTAAAGCGTCAACATCACATTTCTTGAATTTACGTAGAAATACTTTAGGAATATTTTAATAGTATATGAAAACAAACGTTCCGACACGTTCTTTTAGTAGCCCCTTAATTTACTTGGCTATGTAGGTGATCAGACACATTATCTAAATGGTTGTCATTCCCTATTGCAACTAATCAGCCTCTAAACAGAAAACTTGATGTCCTGTTACCTTGTAACTTGTCAGGGCACCATTCTTGCGGGCAGGAGGGTCCCATTGCACCTTGAGACTGCATTCAGTCTGTTTGGACAACCATATGCTGGCCGGAGCACCAGGAGCTATCAGTGAATAATGTTCTGGTTACATATCATGCTAACTGTAAAGGGCAATGGGAAAATACCTGAATTTATTATTGTGAATAGTTAAACTACAGAAAATCAAGTTGCAACTCAGCACTTAAATTGGGTTGGTGAATCTTTTCCGAAGTCTCACAGGAAAGTGAACAAATAACTATGAGTAATATGAGTAATATTTTTAGCATTTCACGTCCCGGAATGTACGTTAATATCACGAAATTCCACAACGTGCCGCAAGGACGATTTCGGCCACCTGGTGTGCTTTATTGGGCAGCTAAATCTGCGCGCATGGGCTTTTAGCACTTTTACTCCATCAAAATGCAGCCTCCGCCGCTGGGATTTCATCACACGACTTTAAGTCATCATCCTAGCACTGAACACTAGAACACTGGGGCGAAGCTCGGTAAAAGTTAACGCCATCTTATTAAACTTCAGCGCACGTTGTTACCATGACACATTTCAAGTGACCGAATTTCCAACTTTTCTCATTGCTTCACTGCCTTCAACCTCGACGACTTTTCAGGGTGACATTCTGTATTGTTAACAGCGCAACCAGTCTGTGCTGAAGGCAATCTACAGCCAATGTTTCCTACCTACTAACGTCGTCTCGAAGGGAGCTGTTCTGTCGGCCATACCTATAGGGAAAGATAACGATTTCTTGAAAACCGCTCTTGGTCATAGCTGGGGTAGACAAGCCATCTCTCTTCTGCGGAGTGCTAGTAGGCAATAGGAAACAAAGCAACGCACTCAATTGGTGTTTCCGATACATTTGTGCATTTGTATCACTCCTTTTACCATTCTCTCAAGCGCAGGGCAGCCGACCAAGCATGCGTCTGCAGGGTTAACCGTCGCCCAACCTTCAACCTTTATTCCTCCATTTCTTCTTGAGGACAGCAGCCTCGACAGGCGGCTGTGGATTGATATCCATGCTGTGTTCCGCACAATGCTGATGCACTGTGTCGGCGTGTCCTGCTTGCTCTTTCTTTACACTTCTCATTTTCAAACAATCCTTACCTTTTCACCGGTGTGGGGTAGTATAACGGGCAATTATAAATCGGTTATACAGGTGCACGCTCCGAAATGGTGGAGGTGACGTACAACAAGGAGTGGTCGGGCGTACCTCAAAGTAGTACGTGGCACTGCGAGAAATAATCCAGCTGATGTGTGTAACTTGTACAATCTGTTGCTTGAATAAATTAGTATGAAGGTTGAAAAAGTGCCGCCATATCCACGAAGTGAATGATGATGAGTGGGCGAAGCTCTGGAGGTAAACCTGGTAAACCATGAATACTCTGTACATTTTGCCCACTCGATTTTATTATATCGCTCCCCCTAGCGTACGTCGCCGCACTAAATCGAACGATTGCCTTCAACCAATGACACGCGCCATATGTGACATCATTCCTATTTTATAAGATCTCCCGTCTTCATCAACTATAAGTACCGCTTTCTAGTTTATAACATCTCGCATCTTTTCATCATCAGCTACAAGTACCACCATCTAGTAAACACTACAAAAACTAAACGAGAGGTGGCTACATACAGGAGACGGTACCGCCATCTAGTGAACACTGCAAGAACTAAACTAGAGGTGGCTACATACAGGGGACGGTACCGCCATCTAGTGAACACTGCAAGAACTAAACTAGAGGTGGCTACATACAGGGGACGCACAGCCCACGCCCTAAGGAGCTTCGCCCCTAAAAAATATTAAAACACATGGACGGAATCTGTGCGGTTTACTTGTTCATTTTTTACTTCAGATCATGTGAAATGCAAGACTGAGCTGCCTTTCCGTTCTCGCATCATGACAGTGCCTGCCCTCCAACAAACGCTAGAAAGGTTTAAGCGGTGCGACGCTGCTTATTGGGGTAAGAATAGATGATTCATTCCAGCATCTTAAACATGAGCGCATAGAGGAATCCATCGCCCAGAAACATGCAGTACGCTACAGAGTACGCTGAAACTACTCAACATCGATTGCGCGCACGACCTGGCTTGAACATCTTATGAGAATGCATCCTTTCGTACGCATGACTTGTCGATTTATCTGCCTCGCGTGATCTTCGGCTTCGTTGATTTCATCGATTAATACGCGGGCTTTGACATCCCTAACTACCAGTATGATTATGAGAGACACCGCAGTGGAGGGCTCCATACATTCTCACCTTCTGGGGTTCCTTAACGTGCACCCAAATGGTTCTTTAACGTGCACCCAAACCTGAGCACACGGGACTACAGAATCATTCTCCAAGGTAAACAGCGCAAAAAACGAAGACAGAAAACTTAGGTCGACACAGGACAAGCGCTGACTTCAACTTTTCTTTGTCAGTTGAAAGTCAGCGCTTGTCATGTGTCTTCCTACTTCTCTGTTTTCGTTTCTCGCCCTGTTTACCTTAAAAAATGAATAATTACCAACTCGACCAATTTTCAAAACTACTCGGGACTACAGAATTTTCGCCTCCATCAAAATGTAGCCGCCGCAGCCAGGGTTTGATACTGTGACTTGCAGGTCTGCAGCCGAGTACCTTATATAGCCACTAGACCACCGCTGCGGGGCTCTTTCGGCTTCGTGTTGCTCTGATACCGAAGAGGGCAGGGAAAGAGTTTTTATTGCAAAGTCTTCACAGGGTTAGTAGCAAAGGTTTCAAACTCACCTCTTCGCATCATACTTTCAAGGCTTTAATCGATAAAAAAATTCTTGTGGTTAAAAGCTTTTCATTGAGCTCGTGACAGCGTCCGGTGTTTGAAATTTCTCATGTGACCTGGTGAAGCTCTCTTCGAAAAATAAATTGGAAACAAATAAAAACAATGTAGTCATGCTTTTTTTTGTTTCAATTTGTTTTATACTGACCCTACTTTTTGCCTGATGACACTCCACGTTTTTGCATTCGTTCTCCATCGCTATGCGGCTACACATTAACACCTCCTGTTCTGTACAAGCAAAGACAGATGCCGGAAGAGGCTGAGAAGGCTATGAGACCCGAATAAATACATGTGTGGAGCCTAATTGGCGTTCCTATAAGCTAAGTGGTCATGTAGCTTTGACAAGTGCTATGAGTAACTTCTGAGATGGAGTATAAATGCATCCCATAGAACTTTGAAAGCCCCGTTTTGCCCAGTAACACTGATCCCGGTCTTCAACATACGGTGCTCGAAAAGAAAATTTGAGGTTAAATAGTGTTCATAGAGGTAGCATTTACTAAAATAGGCATTTAGTGGTACTTGTAATAAACTAAGGCAAAAATGTCTCAAGCAAGCATTCTCGGCACCATCAAAGCACTATAAATACCTTTCTTAAAGTCCAATCACTGCTCATATATGAGCCACGATAGGAACGCACGGAACAAGAAAAAAAAAACGATTTGCCTATGATACGGTCTCCACTAACAATTGTTGAAATTTAGGCTCCTAAAACTATGGCATGATTATTAGGACAAGTCGTAGTAGAGTTATCTGGAAATTTTGGTCACCTGTGTTTCTAATATGTGAACCTAAATCTAAGTACGTGGGCCGCAGGCATTAACGCTGTCATCAAAATTGTGGCCGATGCCGCCTGGACACGCGCAGGAACTAGATAAATAGTGTAGGTGTCATCATTGTCATGTTCTTTCACTGCATAATAATAATAATAATAATAATAATAATAATAATAATAATAATAATAATAATAATAATAATAATAATAATAATAATAATAATTATTATTATTATTATTATTATTATTATTATTATTACCTCAGGATTTACGTTCCAAAACCACAATGTCAATGCTAGAGGCACCGTATTGGAGTGCTCCTAATGTTCCGTCCCTCTGGTGCTTTTTAACGTGCGCTGGCAATCGCACATTACACGGATCTCAACCATCTCGCCTCCATCGATCTGTGAGCGGGCCGCTGCTGGAATCACACTCGCCCATTGCGTTATCACAGCGCACTTCCGGGTCACAATCGGCGCGCACGCTATCAATGTGACATAGATATATACCCGCATATTTTTTCTTATGTAAGCGGCGAAAAAATCATTGAATCTTCATGAAGTGAACGATGAAGACTGCCCTATGCTATGTGCTAAGGTACAAAATGTGGATGTTGAAGTCGCCGACTAGTTTATATAGGGCTAGAGCTCGCGGGTGGTTTAGGAGCTTGCTTTTTGAGCTCGCACCTTGTTTTGCGGCCGCCGAAGTGTACACTATAGTGTTGCCATTGTACACTTCTCCAGTTGGCGCTCAAGGTCCCCACTCCGGTCATTTCTTCAGTGATTTCGACAATGCTCACTGGATGGCGCACCGTCACCCAAGGTATGTTTCCGATGGCACGCGCGCTCGTCTCCTCGCGACTACGATCACTTCATTCTCGTCGTTTTGTCAACGTTGCAGCACGTGAGAAGTTGCTACGATGTGTGTTACAGGAATTCGATACCCTCTGAAGTCCCATTTATACCCGCTTGCTCTCACGTGGTCACCCAAGGCGTTGGTTTTCGATGGAAGGGGCGCTGGCTTCCTTTCGACTACGTTCACTTTGTTCTCGCCTACTTTGTAGGCACGGCAGCACGTGACAGTTTTCTGCAATGAGTCCTACGCATGAAAGCCGATACCCTAAGATACCGGCCTACCCTCAACTCCGTTAAAGAACGCCCAATAGCTCCGCGTTTGCCATTCATGAGCGTTAGGCATTTGACTCCCTGCAGTGGCCAGTATCAACGTTATTGAAATAAACGAGTTAATTCTAGTAATGTTGGTCAGTTACTGGCCAGTTATTGTTTTGGAACATGCTCGAAATTGCTGCCTACGGCGTACACATCGTGCGCCAGCTCTTTAAACAGCCTTCCTAGAAAAATAATCTTGCCAAGAAACCTCCTGTGCACCTCCGAGCTCCTCTGATAACATTAACTTTGTTGATATGGCGGCGATTGTTTTATTGTTCACTTTAAATTGTGATTGATATTAGTGTAGCCTTATACTTTTTTTACATATGTTTTATTATAGCAATGGTCTTCTAACCACCATGACAACGGACAGTGAGTTTCAATGAAAAAAGGTTAATCAGATTCACCCGGCACTTCCAGAGCTAAATCAGGGTGGTGCCGTCTGGGTGTCGTCTTCGTGCAGGTGACACTCAGCAAGTGCAGCATCGACGAGACGTGCAAACGAATACGGGAGCGCAGATGTCGTGCAAGCCCTATGGTACTCGTCAGCTGTCTCGAGGGTTGTAGAGGCTGCGATTCGTAAAAGACGGCGCCGCTTACGTTGCTTGGCATGTGTCTACTGAAAAATGTTCACTGTCGCACTTGTTGGATGCCATTAAAACAGACACAATTGCTATCGCCTACGTTGTCTGCTGCAGTCATCTTGTGCTGCAGTGACTCGGCACTGCCCCATGAGCAGGTGCACAGAGTTCATGAATTAGCCTTGCACGACAGCTGAACTTCTTCAAAACGAATACTGTGGTGCCGCTGCCACCATGTTTAACTTGTGGAACGAACGCCGAAGTGCCTGTAGTGCCTCCATGAACCAGTTCCCGAAGTGCAGGTGAAGCAAATGGACCTAAAGCCAAGGCAGGCCACTGATACTCAGCGCCAGTTTCGGTTTCAAGGAACATGCGCGCTCGTAGCGGATGCCGGGCATCCCAAAATCCAGTTGAACGGACCCAGTGAGGTTCATGTGAATGTTCGCATTTTAAAATAAAACAAATAGGCAGTGCGATACTCTGTAAAGAACTGTTATTTTGTTTTCGATGGAGGCGGAAATGTTGTAGGTTCGTGTACTCAGATTTGGGTGCACGTTAAAGAACCCCAGGTGGTCAAAATTTCCGGAGCCCTCCACTACGGCGTCTCTCATAATCAAATGGTGGTTTTGGAACGTTAAACCCCACAAATCAATCAATCAACTGTTATTTTGTTTATATGTCTTTTCTTAGTCTTTATTTTGTGAATTTCAAATCGAAGGGCGGGAAGTGATTGACTCGCGTTCGTAACATTGCCTCCGTTCCTTCTCGCCCCTAGCTCAGCGATATTAGAAGTTCGATGGTGCTCAGTTATCTTGCTCGTTTGGCGTGTCAATCATTGAGAAACATACCTACGTAAAGAGCGGACACTCTCATTGGGGCCCTGCAGCCGAGCAACTTCACTGCTTTCAGTGCTACGAGTGGCTGCGCAGACCCGATAATGTCTTCAACATAAATAAAATAACGAAATTATTCTTTTCTGATGCCAGGATTTGAACCCATACACTCATGCTCTGAAGGCGAATGTTTTTTCCACTAGGCTACACACCAATAGTTCTGCAAAGTGAATAAATGTACAGTGCATCTAAACCACACGAATTCGCACACTTTGTGCAAAACAAATACAGAAAAACAACACTTTCAAGTCAGACTTCACGTATCTTAGTGGCAAAGCAATACACGTCTACCGCAGGACACAAGTACAGCAGATATAAAAAATTGCACAAATCAATAAAATTTCTTCTTTGCAGAAATTTTATGCTAATCTTGGGGTTTCCTATGTTTTTCCGAGGTGGCTATTACATGTCTTGAAAAAGGAGTAAAACAGAGCATGGGTACGCCATCTAGCGGTTGGTCAGACCCTTTCTTACTGGGCCGCGAAAAGGCTGGAACGGCCACTCTTTACATAGTACCTTGCTTTATGTGTCAACTACGGGAAAGATAAATACCGCAAGTTGTGGCGGGTAGGGAACGGAAGCCGCAGTGAGCTACACCGAACAAATCAACTATGCATTCGTCGAAGATGGCTTAATCGGGAACAGGCCTGTTCCGCGGCTCTGCAGTGTGTTAACTCTTGGAGGCGACGGGCGACCACAAGAATTTAGACACTTTATTTTAGCAGGTATTGATTTTGCATGAGTACGTTAGTAAACCCTGTTGTCTGCATGTCTGACTGGACTGACAGAAGTGCAGTGTCACTTGACTAACTCATGAAGACTGCAGCCAAGCTGCTGTCGGTAAATTGCGTCTATTGAAAGGCTTGAATTCGAGTTGACTCGGGTACATAGTTTGAGCTTTTTTTTTTTACTTTTGGCATGTAGTTCAAATGACGACAAGTAATTATAGGCTGCTTCTTGTTCGTGAAATTCTTGTAGCCGTGGTTTGAAAATTTTATGCTGTCAATAAAAACAATATGCTTCTAAATGGACTAAATGCTTGTAAAATGTATTACCGGAAATGCCACTAGAGCCAACGTTCTGACAAGTAAACATTTCTTCGCCAAGACAATGCTGTTGCATTGACGATAGTGAGTCAACTTGCCGAACCACTAATTCCATCGACATTCTTTCTAGAAAAACTTCTGTTCGCTTCAAGGTTCTTCGTGCCTCTGAACTTCAGTCGGATTTGGTACTCAAGTTCTGCGGAAAAACTATGCGCACCGTCACAACAAAGGTGATTGAGTCAAATATTAAGTGTCCTACTCGTGATTATTGATAATTTTTGCATTGGTTCGGATATTCTAGGTTCAATGTTTGCTCATTGTGTCTGTATGTCAGTTGTAAATTAAACTTGCTTTTGTAGATTAACACTTTCACACTGCGTGTATGAATAAATGGGCGGAAGAACTTTACATTTATGTCTCTGATATTTTATACAAAACGTGCAATAAAAAGTTCATTTTATTTGTGCTGAATGATTTTTGCCTTACTGCGAAATCAGTCAGCTCAACTTTCGCCACTTCAGAACACACGAACTAAATTTAATAGATATGTTTAGCGAAATTGTATGAATAGCCCCATCGCTCTAACGGTAAACCGACCTCAAAAGAAGATACGAGCGCATTCCACTTGAGTGCGAAATGGGAAAGGAGTGCTTCCGCGGCATCCCCCTTCTTAATTTTTTAAACTTTTCTCTCTATTTGGTGACATCACGAGTGACGTCATAAAAAATTTTATGCTCGCCATTTATTTCTAGTAGGATGCCCGGCAATCGCCAGGGGTAAAAGAGGCGCTGCCACTGCGTATCAGCATGCAAAACCTTTACATGGAAGGCATAAGGAGTTTCCGCCACCTGGCTATTGCCTAAGGTCTATACTGTATACGTTGAAGTCGCCAGTATAAAGGAATTGTGCTTCCAGGTGTCTTCTATAGTACCGTCACAATCAAGATTGTTTTTGTCTCCCATTTGTGTTCAAGATATGTATTTCGCATACATGTTAAAATCCTCAGGTGTTCGAAATTTCCGGAGCCCTCCACTACTGTGCCTTTATTATTATCTGGGTGTGGGCGCACGGATGCCAAGCAATTATTATGAAGTCTTCTTGCGAAAATAGGTGGCCTAGGGTTTTGCAGGAGCGAACGGGAGAAGCCAGATAGCGTTGATCATCTACCAACAGATGACTCGGTTGCCTTCGGCTGAACCAAAATAAAGTTATTTTACTTCCTTCCTTCACCCATTATTTTTTCTAATTTCAGCAGAAATGGAAGGTCAGGCAGCGCGGAAAGTGCAGCGCAGCATAGACCCAGCGAAAACACATCATTGATAGAGCTGCGATATACGCCCAAAGTGAATCAGATTCACTTTTTAGGTTCAGATGGCCGGTGTGAACTTCCGACTTTTAATACCGCCGCCAAAAATTGAGAGAAATCTTACGCTTTTCTTTGGTCTCTGCTTCCACTGTAATCGAATATGGTGAGTATTCTGTGTCGACATTTTTAGCACGTACCTGAAAAGATAAATATACCAAAACACTAATCTTGGTAAATCGAAAATAAAAAACCTTGTAAGATATTCACTCTGCACACAAAAACTCGCAACATAAAGCTCTGAAAAATCAGCGGGAGGTTTGCCTATTTTTGTTTTCTCACACTTCTCAGCTTCATACACACAAATATTCCGCATTGGGCTGTTAAACGGGCTTCAAGTTACATACTCACTGCACCATTTCATCACGACAACTATTCTCCGCCATAATTTCCCATTTGAAACGGGAACATACACTTTTTTTTTCGGCTGCTTCTCGAGGATTGTCGAGCGCATCATCCCTTTTAGTGATGTGGCTGCAGGACTGAGCAGCCATTGGCATTACAAATGAATCATTCACAATACGTTCGCAATACTTACCGTAGGCAATGTTAGTGCTGACGATGCATATTGTGAGGGCAGGACACCTACTTCATTGTTAGATGATTTTACAAAAAAGGTTGTTTATATCTTACATGTATTGATTTACATGTTGATTGGTCCAACAAGAACATCGTATATTATTGCACAAGTCATTCAGTATATCAAGTGGACATATGATTCCGGAAATTTCCGTAAAGCCACGGTACTCTTGATACCTGTTTCAACTATTCTCAATTCGTAGCGCACCGTAAAAGCAGATATAAAAGAAGACCCTGAGCGCAAAAGAACCTTCACTGACGCTATGACACCGACATAGCAAAACGTTAAAGCCAGTCAGTCGAAGGATCTTGAATACCTATGTGCGAACTCTGTGTGAATAAAAGCTCGCTTTGTCTATCTGAAACAACTCGAAACATTTTCCTTCGGCACTAGACTAGCCTAAACAATATGGACTGGGAATTCTGAATAATTATTCTTATCGCTCGGTGCAACTGAGTGTGAACATCTGCGTGTCGGGCAGTTTGCAGCTTAGAATGAACGCCGAAGCAACAAAATTTGCACAACAGACTATATAAAGAAAATACTTGCTTTTTCGTGTGTGCTCATGCATGTGCAGAAAAAAGATAGAAAGAAAACGCGTAAGAAAATGGTTCGATAACTTCTTTCCGAGAGTTCCGGAAGCAAAACTTCAAAACTTTGCTCTGGGGAAGGAATGCTACTCACGGGTACGGCAGCAGCCACGACGAAGATGCTTCGAATTGTATTTAAGTCGTGGTTTTGTATAGGCGCGCATTATTTGTATAAAACAGAGAGATAAACCTGCTCTAAGTATGCCTAACGGCCAACTTTCGAAATGAAAACAAATGCCACCTTCAGTTAATAAGCAAGATGGATTCAGTTAATAATTGCTTCAAAGACGAGCACGTCACATTATTACAAGGACAGCTCAGATGCAGAAAAGTGCTCATTATATACTGTGACACGTATATACTGACAGATAACAGTTTCGTAAGCAAATGCAATAAGAGCATACTGTTGTATATTGGTCTATTTGGTTTCCGTTCCGCGATCACTGCCGAAGGTAACGCCAGTGTTGTTTATGTATATAAGCATGCGCAAGTTGAAATAAAGGGGCTTTTGTTCCGATGGGCACTCAAGCTGTCTAGTCGTTCATTCATCGGCGGCACACGCAGCCAGTACATTGGCGACGAGGGCGCTCGTTTAGGAGGGGGTGTGATTTTGGTCATTTTTGCCGACCGTTTCCCGCGCCATGAGTGTTTCCGGACTGGCACCATCATTCCCGTTCCTGCCCACACCTGGGCGCCCTGCTGTTGCCTGGCCGAAATGGATCCGCGCCTTCGAGAATTTTCTGCTCGCATCTGGTGTTTCGGACTGTGCCCCGGACCGTCGCAAGGCTCTCCTAATCCACAGCCTCGGCGTAGAAGGCCAGCGCATATTTCACACACTACCTGTGAAATATGCGCTGGCCTAGAAGGCCAACGCAAAGCCCAGTGAGCCAACTTCTGATACGGATTCGGGAAATGTCAAGTACACTACTCAGACACAGCATGAAGCGTCGTCGTACGATACCACTGTCACAGCGCTGCATGCGCACTTCACGACAACAACAAATGTTGTGGTCGAACGGCACCGGTTCGGTAGGCGCGTGCAGCAAGTCGGTGAAACAATCAATGAGTACATTACCGCATTACGTGAGCTTTCTGCTACATGCTCTTTTCCTTCTCAGGAAGATTCCTTGCGTGACCAGTTCCTTGCGGGCATATTATCTCGGAACTTGCGCGAGCGGTTGCTGCTTGAAGGGTCTTCTCTTTCGTTCGCTCGAGCTGTACTAATAGTGACACAGTTTGAGCAGGACACCAATGATTGCAAAGAATTTGCTACTGCAGATGTCCAGAGCATAAATGCTCGCGGAAACACCCCTCCGCCCGCATCTGCTGCCAGTGACACCTCGAAGCGGTCGCGCAGCCAACAGGGCCAATGTTACCGCTGCGGTTCACCTCGGCACAACGCATCTTCATTCCGCTGCCCCGCCAAAAACAAGCGGTGTTATGGTTGCGGTATTATGGGTCATTTTCACTCGGTCTGCAACAGAAACACCGTTCTTGTTCATGAACTAGACGACGAAAGTTTGATAACTGAAGAAATATTGAGCATTCTTGCCATGACGACATCCACTCGTCTCGCAATCTACGTATCGGTAGTATCGCAGTATCGATTTTGACGCATGACCTAATTAGGCAGCACATTGAAGGTCAGCAGCTTTCAGCTGCTCGAATTAGACTACTGGACTATTCGAAGAAACCCATTCCAGTGTGCGGTTGCTTCTTTGCTGACGTGACGTACAATAACTGCACAACAAAGCTTCTTTTTATGTCGTTGAACAAGGCAGCTCGCTTTTGGGTAGTGGTGCCATTAGGGTGCTCAGTCTTCAGATCGATGGGTCGTCACTACAGTGCCTTGAAACGGCAGCCGCGCGTACTAGCGCTCGGACGGAGCACACCGCAGTCATGACAGAGGCAGAGGAGTCCATTCACTTTCCATCAGAATTAGTCGAAGAGTTTGGTGCTATTTTCAATTCAGGACTTGGCATCGCAAAGGGTTTTGTTTATCCCGTCAAAACACGGTTGACAGTCAAGCCAGTTGCTTCAAACTTCAGGCACCTTCCGCTCTCACTGCGGCCACAAGTCTCGAAAGAACTGCGCCGCTTTGAAAAAATGAACATGATAGCGCGAATAGAGGCATCCGAGTGGGTGTCCCCCATTGTTGTGGTTGAAAAGAAAGATGGAGGTATCCGCCTTTGTGTAGATCTTCGACAGGTAAACAAAGCCGCCGTAGTAGATAGCTTTCCCCTCATACAAAAGAGCTATTGCATAGTTTAGTGGGGGCAACCCACTTTTCCGAGCTTGACCTTGAATCAGCTTACTATCAGGTCATGCTTCACCCTGAGAGCCGCAATTTAACGGCTTTTATAACACACGACGGCCTCTTTCGTTTTAAGCAAGTGTGCTTTGGGCTCGCGTCAGCACCATTTGCTTTTCCGAGTATGATGTCGAAAATTCTACGGGGCTGCAGCGGCGTCCTGTTTTATATGGATGACATCATTGTGTTTGGAAAGGGCAGAGAGAAGCACATGGTAAATCATACCGCAGTGCTGAGGTGCATAAAAGAGGCAGGACTCAAATTGAACACAAAATGTGTCATCAATACGCCGGAGCTTGGGTTCTTGGGCCACAGTATCACCGCAAACGGTATTGTACCGTTGAAGGAAAAGGTGCTTCCATTCGAGACACTCCAGTGCTTACAGATCCAGCCAGCCTTCGATCATTTCTGGGATTGGCCGAATATTATTCTAGGTTTATTCCCAATTTCGCTGACATGGTTGAACCAATGCGTGTCCTGCTAAGAAAGGGACAGCGATTCGGTTGGTCTGACGAGATAGACGCTAGTTTCAGAAAGACCAAAGATGCGCTCGCATTTAGCTCTATACTGAGAATGTTCGATGAATCTCTTCCAGTCTTAGTGTCGACGGACGCATCAGAGTGTGGAGTTGGAGCAGTCCTACAGCCCCGCCGCAGTGGTCTAGTGGCTAAGGTACTCGGCTGCTGACCCGCAGGTCGTGGGATCGAATCCCGGCTGCGGCGGTTGCATTTCCGATAGGGGCGGAAATGTTGTCGGCTCGTGTGCTCAGATTTGGGTGCACGTTAAAGAACCCCAGGTGGTCGAAATTTCCGTAGCTCTTCACTACGGCATCTCTCATAATCATATGGTGGTTTTGGGACGTTAAGCATCACAAATCAATCAATGCAGCAGTCCTGCAGCAGGTGGACGGACATAAACTGCACACTGTCGCTTTCGCGTCTCGAGTCCTTTCGCCAGCTCAGAGGAAATATTCGGTAAAAGAACGGAAAGTGTTGGCCCGTGTTTGGGTGTGCGAGCAGTGGCACGTGTACTTGTGGGGACGCCACTTCACGTTGCTCACTGATCATCAAGACTTGGTGTCATTGCTTTCAACCCAAGGAACAAAAAGGCGCCCCTTGCGGGTAGCGCGATGGACAGAGCGCCTACTACAACACAACTATACCATCGAGTACCGCAAGGGGTCGCAAAACCAAGTGGCGGATGCACTCTCACGCCTGCCCGCGTCGTCTTTCCAGGAAAAAGAAACGCTGTTTGACGAGGTTGTATCAGTTTTCGAGATTCCTTCCTGCATTATCAGAGAACAGTTTGAGCAGTCCCAATTGCAAGATAGCGCACTGCAACAAAGCAAAATCTATGTGCAATCGTCGTGGCCTGCACACAAATCGTTATCGGCCGAGCTTCAGCCATTCTTAAAAGTACGTGACGAACTTTCTGTGGTAGACAATCTTATTTTGCGTGGCGAACAGCTTGTGGTTCCCACGTCACTCACGCAGCAGGTAATCGCTGCAGAACATGAGTCACATCCCAGAGCAGTGCGAACAAAAGCGCGGCTGTGAGAAAAGTATTGGTGGCCGGGCATGGACCGCCAAATTGAGCTAGCTATTCATATGTGTAGCATATGCCAGGAAGTACCCAAGAGCATCAAGGTGCAAGCTACAC